TTTTTATATAATTATTATTATTTAGGCACTTTTAAGAAAGGAAACATTTTGAAAAAGTTTGCGGGAAAAGTCGGGAAAAGGTTGACTTGTACTTTCGAGCTGATAAAACAGCATGGGCCTTTTATCAAGTGTGGAAATTGCCCTGCGAGTAATGAAGAGGAAGAGAAAGTAAAGCGCTGATGATAAGCAAAAAAAAAATAATGAGTAAGGGTGAAATAGCGGTGAAAAATCAGAAACTACCAGAGTTTATGCTTGAAATTTTTTTACAAATCAATATGAAATATGGAATACAATTTTAAAAATTTAAAATAGTTTTTAAGCTATAATTTTGCTCACAGATTAAAAAATATTAAAGAAATATTTCAATTGATCTAATCGTAAAAATAGTTTAGCTACCAATCTAAAATAAAAAAAAAAAATTTTCAAGTTACTTTTTTAATATTTGCATGCCTGTAGAGAAGAGCATGAATAAATTAAATAATATAATAGAGAAGTGAACGTGGCCGATGAATTTTATTAGTCGAGCTGGCGACCATATGGCTGAAAGACGATCCGAATGAGGAGTGCTCTTTGTCTCGAGACCAGCAGCTCCAATCTCGAGATATAAATTAAATACGTATATGTGTATGTACGTGGCTGACTGAACGCTCAAGTTAGTTTGGAGTCGCTTGCTTTGTGCAAGGCCGGCGTGCTCAGAACTGGGCCGAAGGTTCAACATTCGCAACCAAGGCCTACAACCTGCAATCTTGCGCCGAGCGCTCCGACGAAGAAAACCAAGCTTTCTTTCTTTTTTTAATTCACCATTTTTTTTTCACTCTGAAATTTAATTCTTGAATTTTGAAAATTCAACAAGTTTGAGATGCTGGACGGAGCGGGTGTTTGAGGAAGCGAGAGAGATGTCGAGGCGCAGATATGAAAATTAGAAAGTTGCAAACTGGAAGTCTCTCGGTGCTCAGCCGCATGCAGGATAAACTTGCTTTTGCGGGTTTGAAAAGTTGTTTGCAAAATACCTGCCTGCGACACACGGAGGAAGGAGAAGTATAAAATTTATCCTGCTTTTTAAATTTGAAAAGGAAAAATTTCGTTCGACCCAAGGTTATGTGAAAGAGAAAAATATACCAATGGAAAAAGGCAGATGAAAAAAGCTCTCGGGCCCTGTTCTTTTCATCAGTGATACATATTTTCTTTCCTTTGCTCATCGCTGCATATTTTTTCCTTTTGATAAATAAAAATGGCGAAATCCTGCACAATGCACCTCAGCAAGGGAGGATCAACTTTTTCTATGTTCGCCACGAGATCAAAGCCGTGTAATAAAAATAAAAAGCCATACCGCGCATGCACGTCCATCTGGACTCGTGCACTTTTCCCCCTGTACTTTTATGGCTGGGTGTAAAAAAAAAATGCATTCTTAGGAGTGACAAGGAAATTTTTTCCCAGGTGCTCATTATTCTTGGGATAGGATACTTATAAAAATGCACCTGCAACTCTAAAAAAGAAGCTGTAAGTTTATGATTGAGCTCTAAACTTTTATTAGAATTTAATATAAAAAAGATAGAATCATCAAATTCAGCGTTGGATTATATTTTGAATTAAAAATTTATTTAAAAAAATGAATACTTAAAAAATTACAATTTTTCACATTTTTTATCTTTTGATTAAAAAAGTTTCAGAAGCTGCAGGGTGAATAATAATTAAAAGTGGTAGAGTTTATACATATCGAAGTATCGCGGAATCGCGTTTTTAGCTTCGAGCAGCCGCGAACGTTACGTTAGTTGAGGAACTTACGTCATTTGGAGAAAGTTGTTGTAAAGTGCTGGCTCTGTAACCCTTCCCCTATCTGGCAATAAAAACACACATAATAAGCCGTCGCTGCTTCTTTTGCGTATAAATTAACGAATCTCTCAACACGGCTATGCCGTAACACGATCCTCTCCGCTAAAACACGGAAATTATCGGTCACACCAATTAGCGAATTGGAAATTATAAAAAATAATGCAATTTTGCTAAATTTAATGCGTTTTCAACTGAGAAGGACCACTTGACCCCGAGAGGTATCATTCTTTCGAGACGATGACTTGCTTAGTCATGCAAATAGAACCGGTGAAAATGCACATTTTTTTTCGCCTCTAAAACTACTACTTCAGGGACATTGGCCGAAATTTGAATTTTTTTTTTTATTCGAGAGTTGGGACACAATTTTTTACGACTTGGTGAAAAGTTATTCAAATATATTTTGTGTATTTATTTTGGCAGCGAATGATGCACCTGGCCAAAGTGCAGTGTGGCGTCATTGTGGCGTCACATAATTGAGCAATGAGAGCTGCGCACTTGCAAGGTGAACCAAAATATTTGCACGTGGAGCTCAAAATTGGCGCTCGCTCAGCAGAGACACCGAGACATATTTTGTGATTTTTATTTGCACTGCTGGCGAGAACGTGAAGTTGTGTCGGCCGACAGGCACCGTAATAAGCTTGAATAATAAACACCGAGAGGCTGTGTATTTGCGATTACGAAATTGCAAACTTGACTCAAGAGAGAAAGCAAAAGTAAAAATAGCCGAAAGTTGGCGAAAAAAAATCAAGAGAAATCTGGAGAAAAATTTGCAATCCTATATTTTGAGATAATTGACACTAATGATATTTTAATGTGTTTTCAAATAAAGGATTTTTCCTGCTCAGCCTCAGAATTTACCGTGGAAATTTAAATTGTAAATATTACACAGAAAATATAAGAAAAAATTGGTTTTCCTTCAAAACTTTGTCTCCATAATTATATCAATTTCTCTTTTTGAGATTTTTTATTCGCATTCTCTTGTGTTCCTGGAAAAGAAACTTTATATCCAGCTCTATTCATTTTCCTCATTTCGAAACCGCGAAATGTGCCCTCGGGCTTCGTCCACGCCCACAGCCTCACTTGCTCACTTAAATGCTTGCCATTTGTTTATTTGATCCGCAGCCAAACGCAAGCACCTCTCCAGATCATCATATAATCTAAATTGTGCCATTTCGTCGGTTCGTTAGACGCTTCGGAAGCGTTCAGATCCGCGATCTCTACCGGCACAGCGGCACATTAAATTATATTCCTACCCGGCTAGGCCGAGAGCTGCCGCTGGGAAGGAACACCTGTTGCGATCACGCTGCCCTACTTCTCGCCGTTATTATTTTACGCCAAACCACTCCCTTTGAAGTCGGATAAAAAAAACACACAGATTCATTTTGTACGTGATGAATTTTATATTTTGGTTGCCAAGGAGTTTGTTGACAGGTGAGGTCAGTGACCACACAGAGCTGGTCACGTTGGAAGCTGCGCGAAAAATTTGATAGTGGATTTAAATTTAAATCACCCTCATGGTATTCAAATGCGAGGTACACTTCTGCCGAAATTTATTTATTTATGTTAATCTCGAGATGTGGTAAGTGACCTCTGCGCGGAATATGTGCGAAATTTAAACTTCCGCTTGACGTACGATTGAATTTTTAACCTAAAATATTTCTCTCCTTGAGAAAGTAAAAGGATAAATTAATATATTATATTACCCTGCTTCCAATACAAAATCATTCACTTCATTTGAATATATGGGCCGTATGTTTTGTATTTTAATAAATTACTCTAATTTTTTTGTTATATTTCCATTTAATTTGCATATCCAGAATTTTATAAATCAATTGCAATCGTATTTAAAATTTCAACCGCAGGCTAAAAGCTCTTTTCCTCTCTGCCCAATTGTGACAACACACGCCCAAATTTGCATGAGAGCAGCAGCTTTCCATTCTCGAACGCTTTATTTTCACCTCGCCGGCTCCCGTCCATTAAATATACATGGGTATAAAATCCACACACGCCTGCCTTATAGCAGCGTAGTGTGATGTAATAGAAAGTCAGCCCAAGAGCGGCCCGATCGGTTTTTTATTTCGCCGAGCGACGTAATCTTTTCCCTGCTGATTGAAAATATCGCGCGAAAACAAAAGGATGCTGCTCGCAGTTTGTGTTTGCTGCGGGCAAGTTCAAGGACCGCGCCGGAGTAATAACAGTAGGAGTTTTGAACCGTGACAATTGGGTCAGTAATTGCATTCGCGGAGCACAAATTGGCATTAATAAGGATAAAACAATATAAATAAAAATTTTAATAATAATCTTAGTTTTATATTTTATTAAAACATTAATATACTTATAAAATACCTTTTAATGACTAAATTTTTAACAATTTTCGCTATTTTATTTAATGTATTGTTTAATTGTTAATTTATATTAAATATTTTATTATTTTAATATTATTGTGTTTTTGTTTTTTTGCTAGAAAGGATAAATATAAATTAAATAAAATTAATTTACCATCTTTATAAACATAATTTATTTATATTAGCTAGAACCACAAACAACTAATTTAAACATTGAAATAAAATTTCAATCTGTAAGAGAAAAGGCATTAATCGTGTTCAATTTTATTGTTACTATCTCAATCATTAAACTGTATAGACAAACATTTAATTCAGAACATGAATAAAAATAATTACTAAAAAAAAAATTAGAGATATCATGTAAATATTCGTGAACTAATGCAAATTATAAAAGACAAATAATGAAGATTATTATGTAATGTAATATGTTATCTTCTATAACGGTTAAAATTATTTTCATTTGCAAGGTTTTAAATTTTTTTCATACAATGCCTAAAAAAAATTTAATATAAGTAATTTTACCAAAAATTTAGAGAAATCGAATAATTTACATAAATTTCGCGATTAAAAGGTACGGAAAACGCTCTCCTCATTGTGCGTCTGTTGAGAAAGAGCCGCAATCTCACACGGTATTATTTTTTATACAAAAAAAAGTGTTGAGCGCAGTTAATTCGTCCGAAAAACAATGGTAGCTCCACCTCGGGACGTTGCGGCGAACGAGATGGTGCGGCGGGCGAACGAGCGTGTGTGTATGTGTGAGTAGTGGCAGACACCGGCTGGCTGTGTATTATGCTGTTGTATGTATGGCGAACGGTCATTGAACCCTGGGCTATAGCGCGGCTGCTCAGAGAGTTCTCTCAGTTGCCGATTACGCGAGCGTTCGTCGACCGCGCGCTCGCTCACTTTAGGGGTGCCTAGTGCCTCGAGCTGTTGGACTGTGCGATCAGTGCGCCGCGAACAACCCTTCTGCCGACGTCGCGGACCTCCAGAGTGACCCACCCGTCTGTGTACGTGTTAGTGCCGGAAAATTCGAGTGTGCGAACCGGAAAGCAAGGCTGGATTTTTTTTCTCTCGGGGGAAAAAAACCACCAATATATATTTATTTTTAAATTCCCGATTTATTTTTAGCCCGCAGCGTATATATGCGTGTGTGAGTGCCTGCTTGGGCGGGTGGTGGGACCCTTTGGCCCCGTGACGTCGCGATTTTGGGCTTCCTCCTCCCGCTCCTCCTTGAAGGTCGGTTGTTGCCATCGGACGTTCGTCGATCCGAGCGCGCTCTCGGTGTAAATGACATTAAAAATAGCCTCTTTCTTTTTCCGTCTCACACGCCGCCGTGTCTTTCTTTCTTTTTAAAGTTTGCAATTAGTTTTATTAGTTAATTACAAAGCAATTTCACTTTTCTCAAATATTGGCAATCGCGCGCGGCCCGGGCGTCTCTTCTTTATCTTGAATTTCGTCCGATAAGATTCGGCCTTTGTATTTTGCGGCCCGGCGTTATTTTTTTCACGTGCCGTTCCTCTTTCTTTCTTTATATTTTTTTTTCGTCTAACTCTGTGGAAAAATTGTTATGTTGCACCATTTGAGCTAGGAAGGTGATTCACGCACCGTTTCCTGCGCCGTGTGTTTGGCAATTTTTTCCCATTGTGCGGCGATTAGTGGACAGGCGTGTTCGCTTCTAGATCGCGTCTTTTTCTCTTTTCTTTCCGAGTAATTATCAGCCGCGATAATTATCCCAACGCGTCGACGACAAATAATACCAAGAGCGGCGCGTATATCGGCCAATGACCTAGGCACACCCCCTCATTGTGACGTCACTTTGCCGCTCGCCGGGAATCTCCTCCGCCCGAAAGGCAACCCCGAATCGATTTTCCAACTTTTTCCAAGAGGACAAAAATAGCAAAATAAGATTTTGCGATTTCTGCCCTTTTGGAAAAATACGACAATTGATTTTTTAACACGCATATATAATTATATTAAATATTTAAATTCGACCAAGATAGGATCCGAGACCGGGATTATTGTGTGCTGGTGTTTCCTTTTTCAGGAAAAAGAAGAGTTGTATATAATTTTCCGCAAGAGCCACAAACGCGCGGCCGGAGTGTGGTCGTGTCTTCGGAATGATGGGTAAAGTGCACCGTGTGTCTCTTAATTAGCTTGGGAAAATTAAGACGCACGCGACGCGTGAAATATTCCTGATTGAATCTGCCCGCGGGCATTGTCACGGCAATTGCAGGATGAGGCGAGCCGCTCTGCCCTGAGAGCCGCAAAATCCCGAGGAAGCTGCGTCGACGCCGCCGCCACTTCTGTCGGACGAACATTATGCCGTGGAAGCCCTTCTTGAGGAAAAGTTCGCCGGTTAAACTGTCTCGTCTCTCCGACTGCACAACGAGCCTCCAAGACGGCATCTCCGTGGGAAAATTACCTTCAGCAATACCACAGGCAGGAAAAGTTGCTCCCGACCGAGTTCCCCAAATTTTTCCACTAAATTTGTCCAGATTAACTTTTTTTTAATTCATTAATTTAATAATATTTTAAATTTAAATATTTAATTAATATATTTTTTTTCATCCAGATTTATTACAAAATTTGCTGCCAAATTTTTTCTTGTTTTTTTTTTAATATCATAAAATTTGGATTAAATTGGAATTTTTTATTAAATATCAATTATAAAAGCAAATAATTATGATTAATTTGGAAATTTGTAATTTTACGTTCTCATTTTTATATTAATATTTTTTATTTTAGACATTTTTAAATTTTGTCGATGAGGATATTTGTCTAAAATTTGGTGGAAAACGATGGGAAACGCGTTCGAGGGCATCGAAACTGACGCCTTTGTGGCCGCCAACAGGGCAGGGGTGCAGCAAGGTGGAGGCTCGCAACAGCAGCAGCCTCCACCGCCAGCCCTGATTCCCCACCCTGGCGGTACTGTGATGGACGTTATCGACGAGCTGCTCGGCGGGGGCGGTTCGGACTGTTGCTGGACTGAAGTGGGTCCCGAGTCGCCCCTGGGCCCCCCCGGCGGCTCCACCGTCACCAACATCGGCGAGAAGAGGATCAAGCAGGCCTGCAACTCGCCGTGCTCGCAAATCGACGAGCAGGACCGCCTCTCGTACACGTCCGGCCTCGAGGGGTTGCGACCCTCGATTACGGCCGACACCACAACCCCGCCTCCTTCGAGGAAAAACGCCAACAACTCCATCAAAGGTACCGACACTCGTGTCTGCTTGTGCGTGTCTGTCTCTAGGATTGATTGATTGCCGATGTTTGCAATTCGGAGACGTTGATTTTTTATATAGTTTGCGCAAATCATTAAAGTTATTAAAGGGGATAAATTTTTTATGCGATAATATAATAATCTTTTATCTCTTTAATGCAGAGGGATTTTTAAACAATATAATTAAAAAATTAAATGTCTTACTCAGAAAAAAAATAAGTTTATTACTTTATTTTTACCATAATTTAATAATTATATAAATTGAAAATTATATCTTTATCAGAGAATCTTCGTCTCAAAGCAAACTCATACTCAAGCAATAAAAATTCAAAAATAAGGGGTATTAATTTTTATTCTTTAATTGTCTATCAAAAAATTACAATAAAAAAATTCTGGTGAAAAAATATCTGATAATATAATAATTATTGCAATTTTCTGTTTTACGTCAGAAACTTTTTAACAAACCCCTAATAAGCAATTAAAATCTTATCTCTCTCGGTCTCAGTATTTTTTTTTTATTATAGTTGCAAACCCACACAACTTTCCAACACCGTTACATATGCAGTAGATTTTCAACACGTTTATGTAGAGCACTGCTTTTTTCTCTTATCATTTTCCGTCATGAAGAGAATTTTGCAATTATGATTCGCGGGAAATTTTCTGCTTAAAAAGTGGGTCACGTAAACAGAGAAGAGAAATTGGAGAAATCCCCTCGAAAATGTCCTCTCTGTCCGTTCGTCGAAGATAATTTTTTTTAAATCGACCGAATCTCCATAAATTTAAATCGATTTGAAATTCAGTCGCATCGCCTGCCTGCGTGCGAGGAGGAGAAAATCCGTGAAATGCAAATTTAGGTGAATTAATTGAAGAGCAGAGAAAATAGATTGACGTGCACCCTTGGCTAGGGGGTTGCGAATCCGAATCGCACCGATAAGAAAGAGAGAGTGAGTGACTTGCCGGCGGCTGCTTTTCGAAATAACACGGCACCACACGGGGTTCATTGCCTCCACGTGACGTCACCTTTTATGACGTACCGCACGCAAGTCCAGTAATGAGAGTCTAGCGTTCGTCTCTCTCATCGAAGGTAGAAAAATAATATCCATCTCGCATCCCTGCTTTTCACTGGTGCATAATTAGAGAAAGAGAGAGGGTGCTAATTTGATCTTTATGAAACGGATATAATTACGGTGCTCGTCAAAAGGGATGCGTTCTCGGAAGGGAAAAAATGCCATGAATGAAAGCGTGTGTGTCTGTAGATTATTTAATTGGATTAAAAAGCAATTTCCGTAAAAGGCACGGCTTCAAAGGGATATCTAATTTCAAATGAGAATAATGATGGAACGCTCATTATTATGTAATTTCAATTCGTTTCAATGAAATTTTAAACCAGTCACTTTTTTAATTCAATTTAAAGTGGATAGAATTGAATAAAAAATTTAAAAAAAAAATACTGCAAATTATTGACTTTTAATGAGAAATTTCATTCTATCCAAAATGAAAACAAGTTTTTGCTCCCAGAATTATTTTTTTCTGTTAGGCTGTTTTAAAATTTGGCTTTTTCTCTCTTTATTTTGTACTGATTTTGAAGTTGTTATTAATTATATAATAATTTATGTTTCACTACATAAAAGAATTTAGACTTATAATCATCAATTACACATTTTCTTAAATTTTTCTCTTATATTCAATATTTTATACAATAAATATGTGTTTAAATTTAACAAGGAATAAATTTGAAATAATATTTTACAAAAAATACAATAAAAATTTTCAAAATTTATAAAGATAGAGAATTGAAAATAATATTTTTCTTACAAATTTTCTAAAACTAAAATATTTTTATGCTAGAAATTCATTTTCACTGTTAATCTTCAGCCAAAAGACATTCAGTTTGTGCTCTCGGAGTCGATGAGCCACTCGAGGGCGTTCCGGGGCGTGTGGAACGAAGGAACCCCGAGGCACGCGTCGCTGCGGGGCTGCAACGCCGCCCGGGTTGCATAAGAAATATGCCCTCATGCGTGTCGGACCGACGGCGAGGGCCATTAAGCGAAATGTGCATGCCTTGGCATCACCCGAGAATGCAAAATTCCACGCGTGCACTTCATTAATTCAAAATATTTGCTCCACTGACTTATTAAAAAACCGCGTGTTTTTTGTCCGTGCTGCGCTCGGCAAGGCAGAAAATATTTGCCAAGTCGCCATTTCTTGGTAATGACACTCGTAAAAATGCTCGTAATCGTTGTGCGAACAAGCTGCGAAATCAGCAGACCGTCCCGCCACTCGCGTAATTGAAATAATTGTCAAGCACGTCGTTTATTCTCATCAGTTTAATGAGTGCTTGGCTGCAGATTTCTGTTATTCGTGAAGGAAAAAAACAGTTAAATTGTCACAGTGTGTAGTTTTTTGCTGATAATTTAATAACATAAAAGAAAAAATAAATAGGAAAATTAACCTAGTCTGAAAAGACAAAAAAAAAATTGCAAAAAAATCAGATTTAATTTATAAAACGTTCTTTTTAAAAGACGTAATGCAGATAAAAATTATGATTAGCTTAAAAAGAAAGTAATTTCATCTTTATAGAAAATTTTTGAATATTTTGTCTCAATTTAATTCAATTTTACTATTGGTTCTTTCGGACAAGAAAATTTGATTTAAAAAAATTCGCAATCAATTAGTTCTTTAGTAACAAAAAAAAATTAATAAATAAAATAAATAAGGTATTTAAACTATTTTTTTAGGTTCTGAATTAATAACAGCATTGATTTTCAAATAAATAACAAAATAAATGATGCAATAAAATAATTTATTTCTTAAAATATATGTATGAGCCTTCAAATTGCTAAAAGTAACGAATTTAGATTAAAATACAAATTGTATAGTCAAAATATAGTCCACAGAAATTATACAAAGTTAATTTTATCTAGTTTTTTTAACCGAAAAATAGCTCATTTAAATTTTTCTACCGAGAAATTGTCTGAATGACTGCAACAAATTATTATATTTGCACAGTCGCTACAATTTATAACTAGTTCTGACATGCTGATTATGCGCCCGAAACGGCTGCTTTATTTTTTCCATTATTTGTTCGCGAGCGTTGGTCGTATTTTTCCTCTTGAAAGTTCAACGCCCTCCACTCTAGACCAGTGTTCTATTAATAAATCAATTAAAAAAATTCAAATTTGACTTTTTCCACTCCTCTCACGTGCAGGCAAGATTGTCTCTCTCGTCAATTTCGGCGGGTCAAGTTAGCACACCGTCATTTTTTTTTATAAGAGTGTCAAATTTCCCCCCAGCACCACATTATAATACGAAATTTGACTCGACAACGCTGAGCGGGTTGATGTCAAACGAATTGTAAATGGACAAGCTCCACATGCAATTCACACTGAAACGCATTTGTTCTCTTACAAACACAAAGTACTCGTGTGTGTGCGTCGAGTGTTTTCGAGTTCATTCAACTCTTTTATCATCACAAGCGGCACGACGCGCCGCGCGCGCGAATATTTCTAGCAAATGCGAGAGTATTTGCACTGACGCGCCAAATTCGCTGCCCGTCGTCACTGCCTTTTAATTACTGTCCAATAAATTTCGCGCCAAATCCTCTCGGCAAACTCCGCTTGGGAAATTATTATTCCCGGCTGACGGCTTGTTTGAGCGAGACTTAGCAACTGCAAATATTTGCGAGTTGCACACGCGTGTTTGCCCTCGAGGGCCAGAAAAAAAATTAAATTGGTTTAAAAATAGAAATTATTGCGGTGAAATTTGGAAGATTTTGAGATAAATATATGACTGGCGAGACGTGTGACAGTTTGGCAATTTGAAGTACTTCTCACATGAACTCGACTTCAGAGGAAAGATTCAGAGATTAGATAGACAATAAATGCGAGTAATTTGACAAGTTCTTAAAATGTGCTTATTTGAAGACAGCATTTGATTCTATGCTTGTGATAAGTTGCAAGATAATAAATAATTTATATTTATATTACTTATTATTTTGTATAATTTGTTACCAGTTAAAATTTGATTTAAATTTTTTTTACAATTTTAATAATTTGTAATTATTTGGTTGAAACATTTTTTATTTATTGTTTTTTTTTTTTACATTGATGGGTTTAAAAAAGACATTTTATTTTTTATTACTATTTCAATACATATCTTAACCCACCCATTTCATCTGCAGGATTTATTGTAGAGAATCATTTTATCTTATTTTAGTTATGTTTCATATTATAGAAGAATTTTATTTATTATCTTAATTAAATTATAAATGGAATTAATGGTATTAATTTAAACATTTAGAAAAGTAGCGTTCACAAGAAATTTAATTAATTTAATACAATTAAAAGTGAAATGAGCTTCATTGCGTGCATAAATAGCATAATTATTTTTTTTTTTTACTTACAAATTAAAATACAAATCCCACGAAATTGAAATATTTGCTTGTTCTTATCATAAATTTAATCTCTAATCCTTTCCTCCAACTGGTCTATTTCAAATTTAAACTCTGCACCAAACATTGACTTTGACGCAATCGCAATTTCCATCTCTTGAGACTTACAACCACCGCAGTGGATTTAATTTGCACCACTGCATGCGCAAAAGATATCGCCGGCCAATCCGTCACCCCTTGCGAGCTATTAACAGAAAATAAACCAAAAGAAAATTTTCAGGAAGAGTATCGGAGGCGATCGCGTGCCGCTGACCGTCTCTCATTTGCATTTGGTTCCGTGTTCTGCACTTCCATCCCCTGGAAATCGGTTTCACTTTCGGTTCACGCCGCGCTCAGGTGCTTGACCCCCTCGGTGGCTATTTTCCACGTCACGTGACCGCCGCCTTATCTCGTGTGTGTGGATCGATGGCTTTTTTACTTTGGCTTGTTTCACTTCCCTGTTCCGGTAGTGGTCACCGCGTTGTGATCAATAAATTTAGCCTTTTTATTATACACACATATTCCGAGCCAAGCTGGCTGCAATTTTATCTATCTTTTCGGAACGTATGGTCGTTTGGCACGCCGAGGGAATTATTATATGCAAAGCGGAATGAATGTGTTTGTGTGTTTACGGTCGGCGCATTTAATTCGCTCTCTCGCATGCACCACTCTGCGTTTCGCCACTGGAATTTTCCATGTGTGGTTTTTTCTGCGGAGGAAATGACTCGGTCAATCAGCAGTGGTTGGGCGTACGGCGAAGGGGAGATAGATGATTTTATCATTTAAAAATATCATATCTAAAAAAAAAGGTAAAATAAAGTTACAACAAATATTTACGACAAAAATTGCCATTTTGCAAAAATTCTACAAAATTTTTAAAAATAAACTTAAAATTTTTAAATAAAATTGAATTTAGAGAGCAAAAAATTAATTAATATTGATGTCAGGAAAACTTTGAGAAAATTTAATAAAATATTAAGAATTTTTCTTTTATTACAGGTCATTATGTTTTTCATTCAATAAATTGCAAACTTTGTCGTTTCATTTCATACATTTGAAATGACTATCAATCTTTAAGCAAGCATTTTCACCTCGAAAACGTTTTAAAACTCTCTGATTGTAATTTTGCAAGCAAGCTACTTATTGCCAAACTGCTGCGCGAAAAGAGCTCATTTCAATTTCATATCTCACGGAATACAAATAGAGGGAAAGTCTCAAGAAATGACCGTTGCTATAAAATTTGATGCGGTTACGCCGAGCTGCAGTACTTTTGAATTATACTTTATAATGCTCAAGTGTTTCTCGAAGAATAATAAAAAATAAAAAATTGTCGCGACGAAAGGGGAGAAAAATTGCGTGATAAGCTTCAATCTTGGAACGTGTCTCGTTAGATCGAAAAGGGAAATGGAAATAATAATAGCACTGAAGGGGTTGGAACTCCCCATTAGTGATACGCAAATTAACTCTTGATTCTTCGGAGAAAATTATTATATACGAATTTTTATTCCTTTTGAAAGACATATTTCTGATGAGCTCAGATCTGAAAGTTTCTGATTACACCGACCCCTGGCAGGGGTCGTTGAACGCCAGAATAATAAATTCCGCAATCAAGCTCGGTTGCAAATGAGCCGTTGGCGATTTTGCCCCCTGAAAAGTGCGAAGGAGGCAAAAGATGCCCCGCTGCGCTGGCTTGCTCGTTAGACGGGCTATTGAGAAACGCTCCTGCAAGGAGAAAAGATGCAACCCGCTTGGCTCACACGCAGCGTCGGTTGCTGCGGACGAAGGCGTCTGAAAATTTTAACCCGAAAACATGGAGATCAACTTAAATTTGATCTTTCGGATACTTCCAGGTTCAATTTTACTAATTTTAACAAAAAAGCCTCTCATTTGAATAATTTTATAAATCGATTTTTGGTGGTGCCTCTTTGTTTTGTACCCCCAAAGATCGAGTTGCCTTTATAAAATGTGGAGATCACACCAAACTGACGTGTTTTCGCACTCTGGGTGTTGCAGCCCAGATCGAGATCATCCCGTGCAAGGTGTGCGGCGACAAGAGTTCCGGCGTGCACTATGGAGTGATCACGTGTGAGGGGTGCAAAGGCTTCTTCCGCCGCAGTCAAAGCTCCGTCGTCAACTACCAGTGTCCCCGCAACAAGAACTGCGTCGTCGACCGCGTCAACCGGAATCGATGCCAGTACTGCAGGCTGCAAAAATGCCTCCGGCTCGGCATGTCCAGAGATGGTGAGTACCAAAGAATGCATTTCATTTATTTCTTCATTTTCCAATTTTGTAATATTTGCAAAGGCTGTTGTTAATTTAAATATAAATATTTATTTAAGATAAAATAACGTGTTAAGATAATTTTTATTTTTATGTACATTACTACAATTATTTATTTTTATTATTTTAATCTTTTTGATTTATATATTTATTTAGTATTTTTTTTAACGTATCTCATTACTAGTTTTGCCAATGTAAATAATATTACCTAGTATTATTTAGGAATGTTATTTGTATTTTCGTTGGCGACACATTTTCTAATATTTTTCACAAATGAACGTAACGTAAATAACTTTAGTTTTAGATGAATTAAATTAAATTTATATTATATCTATTCATTGGTAAAAAAGATGGAAGTGACATTAAAACAATCAATCAAATATGCGATCCCTTTAACTTTTTAATGTAATTATCATTTCCACAAATATTTAATTCCAAATTTCGAAGTGCACAATTTTTACGATTAAATTTCTTTACACAACCGATTTTGGTTTTGCCCTTACATGTATTTTCGTAATAATATACCGTTTAGCTATTCAACTAAAAGATTATAATATGACTGTTCACAAAGAGATTACAGAATGTTCCGTTAGAAAAGATGAGCCAACAAAATAAGTCTTCGAGACAAACAAATCATTAAGGCGCGGCATCGTAACAACGGCCCGCTCTGTGTATATTCTTTGTAAAAGAACTCATTCTTTCTGAAAACCATTAGCCCGCCGTACAATTAACCCGGCTCGCGTTGGCAAAAGAAGCGCTCGATTAATTGTTTCCCTGGCACCTATTCTATGTATGTACTCGTGTATTTTGCACCATTAGACAGAGAGAGAGACGCACACACGCCGCTAAATTAATAACGACGAGGCGCGCGTTTCTCAAAGGATGTTGGGATTAATTTCCTCCAGCACGCATAAGCGTACAAAAGCCTAACTTGCATTGTGTGTTGCCTTGAAGGCAATTTTCGTCTTTACAAAAGGGTTGCGCGAGCGTGCACAACGTGATGAATTAGCATTTAAAATAACTCATTTTGATAATGAAATATGATAATAACGCAAAATACTTTGAGATTTTCTGGTGCTTTCTACGTGAAAACTTTGCCAAGAAACAAATTTAATTTTTTATATTGAGGCGCCTGGAGTATGTGGAATTAATAAAATTAGAAATAATTAAGGAAATTATTTTTCTTTGGAAATTTCCTGAAATGATTTTTTCCTTACAATTGGTTCTGTTAAAATTTCACCAAAACCAATTTATATTATTCCAAAAATTTAGCAAAATAAATTCAAAAGACCTCAAACTTTACATTCGAGCCAACGGAAATTATTTAGTTCCTCATTAAAGAGTGAAATTCTAGTATATGAAACAAATCACACACGTAATCTCTAATATAATTTTACTTTGAAAATGAAATTTTTAACTTCAGACATGCAGCTCAAGTGATAAATGATTTCTTGGTATTACCGAAATTTGAGGGTTATTAGAAATACATTTGTGGCAACAATTATTAGCCAATTCTCCTTATCTTTTTACTATTATTAAAAGGTCGATGACTTTCTTGTACAAACATGTTGTAATCCTTCCATTTCGTTCCTAAAAGATTTTCAGTAGAATTTGTTTTCAGCTCCTTTGATTTCAAGTAATAACTCCTTAATTTTTATTTACTTCTTTCATCTCTGAAAAATAATGAAATTGAAAAAAAAAACATGATCTGAAAATTTTTCAGGTTAAAGAAAAATATGATAGTAATTTTTATCCATTATTTTTATATAGGCCAACCGGGCCATATATATTTATATTTCACAGGAAAAGTTCCCAAATCCAATCGACTGTCAAAATCGCCAACGTCATTTTTCTCCCTTCCGGGTTCATTCAGCCCCTACCAAAAACAGCAATAATTCCAAATTGCCCGGACACGAAACAATCAGAGGCGTTTGTGTGTGAGTTTGTATGCGATAGAGGAAGAAAAAAAAAGTGTAACGGCCTCTATTAAAATTCCGCTCGCTCGCGGTCATAGAGCGCGCAATAAAAACACACCCCGCCGCGGTTGCCTATGTGCAGGGGTGTTTGGCCCGCACTATAAATATACACCGCGGCAAAGCAAGAAAGCAAAGAAAGAACGAACGAACGCGGCGGGCAGGCAGGTCTTTGCTCCCGCGCGCTTATCGATCCACAACACCACGTGCTAGTGCCGGAGGTCAGTTACCCTTGCCGTAACATCAATCAACATCCCTCACTTTTGCGCGTTGCCCCCGCCAGCCCGCCTGCGCCGCCGAAAGGGGTGAATGCCTCAATTTGCATACACGGAAACTTGATTTCTTCCGCTTTATTAGATTTAATTCGCACCGAATTGAATTACTCACAGAGGTGGTTTCTTTCAACCCGGAAACGAAACTTTGCTTAAATTTTTGTTTATATCAACAACCCTCCGACCGCGATAATCGAGTTCCGTCGGGCTTTTTCCATCATCCTTCGTTATCTCTGGATTGTGGCCGGTTGCGAAATCCAGCTGGTTTTTTGTGTGTGGAAAATTGAGATAAATATTATCAATTTTATTTTTTCTTAATTAACTGGTTTCGATTTATGCATCAGCCGTCTGCTTTCAGCAGCTGTTGTCTTTAACACTCAAGTGGCACTTTTATAATCCTAATGCCTTCAGAGTAATCCTCTCTCGTTTATGAACTTATAAACTAATGCCATTAGTTGTGCGTCATCTTCAGTAATTCGATCCATTATCGCAGATTAATTTTATCATCAGTTCAATAACATTACATTTTTACAATCAAGTAGAAAAGTTTAAAATCAGTTTTTCGAGGAGGATCACATCAGCTATAATTATTATTTCGGAAAGAAGAGAACATTTTACTACTGAATTAAAAAATAATATAGATAAAAAAGTGGTAAACCCGCAATTGTTTCACGATTATAATTTCTTTCAAAATATTTTTGTTTTCATTTAAATTCATTGCAAGAATATCAAAATTACTGCAAAATCCCTTTAATTTGCTTATTTTTTGTCCAATTTTCGTAATATCTGTTATTTCCTGTTTTGATTCAACTTTTTGTGAACATAACTTGACTTTTTCACACTTGCTTGCTTTGAGCAAATTTTCCGCCAAAAGGAAGTTTCTCTCGTTTCTCATGCTCGCGTAATGCGTAACTGCTTCGGTTTGTTTTGCATTTTGCACGAGTACACAGAAATCCCATTCCGAGGATACAGTTCGATGGTAATATGACGCCGCCAACTGGCGTCGCGAGCAACAAAGAAAACGGTGCTCGTGCGCGCACCCAGAGATGCGTCGATAGCGAATTAAATAATTTTCTCCATTCGCGGTGTGCACACGCTATGATATTGGCATAATTGCATCCGGTGAGGTTCAGTTACAGATAGATACATCGAAATGCTGCGAGTTATTATTGCGGCGGATTCACCGGTGAACGGCAGAAATTCGCAATTATTGGTTTTTGCGCAAGACTTCTTCTGCTATTGTTTCATGCTGAGAAACGTATGCATGTTGTAAAATAAGAAGTTAAATATACTAAAACAAAATATAATTTTTAAATTTATGTCAAATCATTTATAATTTAATTTTATTGCCTGACTTGTTAATAATTTTTAAATTAAATAAATTAATTTAATTTTCAAGTTTATTTAATAATTTTTTTAAGAAGTTAAGAATTCAATCACAAATTTCCTAATATTTTAATTAAGATTTTTTTCTTATTTATTATAATTAATAACAAGTGAAATGTGATGACATCATTGATATGAAGATCATCGTAAATGAAAGTTCTATTGTCATGTGCTGCTTCAATTTCTTTTAAGTTAATAATTAAAATACTATATTCTCTATGAACAACATTTATTGATATATTTTAATTTCAATCTTTAAATAAGGTGGCAAAATTTATAAAATTCTGAAAGATTTCTTAAAAACTAGGTATGGAAAAAAACATTTTTACCCAAACTCTGCACGTGACATCCGATTATATATTTTTTTTGTCGACTCTTTGCAAGGCAAATTGACAGACCAAAGATGAGCTTTTTCCTTCCGAATATATTCACGCACGATCGGTTTTAACTCTGAACGGCGTCTGAACTTTATATAGACGGATTCTTCACTTCTTCTTCATTAAGCCGCATAATAAAACACTTAGAAGCAGTAGCGGTGCATTGTTACTTCAGTTATCTCTTTTTTCTTCACTTTAATGAAGCCCGAAGGAATTTTCTCTCCTCTCCGCCGCTTTTTACGATTCCCTTCGCCACGGCCTGATGGCTCTCGGAGTGAGCGACGAGCCCACCTGAAAGAAGAGAGCTTCAGTCAGGTGCATGCCTCGGAATAGTTCAGTTAGCCTCTAGTCTCAGGTGCTGCTACTCACACACGCGCCCAGTGCCATCATGGGAGTTTTGTCCAAACGGAAAGCAGGTTCGGAAGAATTTTTTTCCATTTACTTTACATGCGAGTATGGTTAACACCGCGAGCGGGGCGTATTGAAATTAACGAGCGGTCGTTAAAAGAACTATGCCTCGCCAGTTTGTTGCATTAGTACTTTTGATTGCGAGAGAGCTCGTCGTCGCTTTGCATAGGGAACAGCACGTGAGTGTTAATCGGCAAAGTGCACCTCCGGAGATGCTGCAGTTTGTTGGTTTTTATAATTATTCACAGGGAAACCGCAGGAGTGCAATTGGAGTTTTATTATTTTAGCAACTTTTTCACATTACAACTTGAAACTAAGAAGTTAATTAATTCTTCGGAAGAACAAAATTGTTCAATTAATTACATGGTTTAAACTCCAATCAATTGGAAATACGTAAAAATTGTAAATGCTTGAATGGGAGCTATTTCTATTTTTTAATAGCACATTTTATTTATTCTTCTTTTTATTAAATTCATTCTAAATTAAATACAAATCAAATTATATTATAGAGGATAGTGATCTTGTAGTTAATAATTGTTGAAGTCAGTCGCTGATAACATAATGATGATAATGCAACATTATATAATAATTTATATACATATTAAAACATTATCAAGAACTAAAACAAGGATTTTAAGTTTAAAATAAGAAAAATAAATTATAAAAATTGATTTTATTTTTGTTTAAATAAAAATAAATTTATTTTATATATATTGAAATAAATTAATTTAAAAATTTCCTTATTTATTTTTTTAATATAAATTTTAATAAAGTTAATTACAAAACTAACAAGTTAACAATTTGATTTAAAACATTTTTAATTTTTTCTGATACTAATTGATGGTTAAATTACCGTAATTTTCATTTTACACTCAGTTAAGTTGTACCAAAGGAGAAAAATAGTGAACATTTCCCTGCTGCATTTGTGCATGTCGCGCCCATATGCAAATGTTGCCCTTCACGGTTCTATAACTATCCTAGAATGGTGATCGAGAGAGCCTCTCATTCAATTGCAGCCGCGCAAAAGGTGAAACGCGAAGCAATTTGAATTCCAATCGGCGATTCCGTTCACGCAATGTGTGGCAAAACTATATCTATGAAAACAGTGCGCGGGGCAATAAACTCTGAGCCAAAGAGAGAAAGATTATTACATTGGCCGCAACCTTGTGACATCATCGCGCATTCTTAAAATTATTCGCACACACACCTTGAATGGGAATGGAATTAGCAAATAATCATAGTAATCTTCGCTAATCGATTCGCGGGAAAAAATTATCAGAGGTTGTCACACTCGCAAGTGAAATTAGAAATTACTTTTCCTTGTGCAATGAACTCTGAAAATAAATACACAGCTGGCCTCTTTGGATCACACCCTCACCCTAGTGACATTTATTGAAGCCAGCGCAGTCTCCCAATATGAAATTCCTCTGAATGTCAAAAGAGCATCGGAAAGAGATTCCGGCCGGCGGCTCCACGTGAGCCTCGTTTATTTGGTTCCTGTAGCGGTCAAAACCGGTTCCAAAATTTGATATACACAAATGAAAATCATGGCATTGTGTGTGTGTCTGTAATTTTTCATTATATAAATTTAATAATTGGTTGAGTGACTCCCGTTAACATTCCGTTGATATATCCGAACGAATTTTTCGTGTGAAATTAAAAACCGCTTTCGGGCGAGTGCACTTCTTCTTCTTCTTCTTCTTCTTCTTCTTCTTCTTCTTCTTCTTCTGTGGAAACGAACAATGGCACTTCTTCTATTCGCCAAAAATTTGATCGAGCACCACGAGCGGATTGGCGCCGCCTCGCACTATTGCGTCGGTGATTAATTTGTAAAACGAGCAGTCGATGCGCCGATCGATTTTCTATATATGTACATATTCGCCTGAACCGCCTCGCGCTCTGACACAATCTTAATTCCTGGTCTGTCTACATTGATCATTTATCTAAAAAGGATCATCGATTATATACTCTATAGGAGAAAAAATACAGTTAGAGCAAGAGACACAGCGTGATAACTCAAGAGTAAACGTCAGCACATATTTTACAGTTTCTAAAACGTATGTTGCGGTATGTTGATTACATTTTTTTTAGTAAAGTTTAATTTTAATTCAAATTAACGGATATTTTATTAATGAAATGTCTCATTAAAAATTGCAGCTGTTTTGGCTTAAATTTTATTTATCATAGTCGCACAGGAAAAGTCGATTGAAGTTTTTATTTCAGCGATTGATTTTTTTTTTCAAACTCTATAATTAAGAAATTAAGTAAAAATCAGAATTTTAAATCATATTGAAATTCTCACCGGCTTATATTACCTATGAATTTTGTTTTTATGATGATTTATTAATAAAACGCCAAAGGACCTTTTGCTCTAACAATAAGAACAGAAAATTAAAAAAAATTATGCTGATCTTCTCTTGAATTTTATCATAGTTTAATCTTCGAGGAGCCCCTTTTTTATAAATAATTTTATTTGTTGCGTGATCGGATTTCATATTTTCTAGAAAATACGAAAACTGCGTGCTAAAAATATCTCCGTTAGTTCTTGCAAGCATCTCCAATTACGGGTGTTGAGCCAAATTTTTTTTAGCTCCTCGGATAATTCCCCGTTGTCTTTGAGAATGTTAAAATTAACAAGAAAGTCTTCATTGAAGCTCCTCAGAAATTTTGGCTGAGAGAAGAAGGGTGCGCGAGGCGTCTCTGTTAACGCGGCGAACGAACGCGGAAGAGGGTTTTTGTTTCTATTTCGTCTTTTATGGGCACCACTTAAGCCGCCGCCGCATTAGGCGAGGCAGGGGCTGAGGAAAATTGCAGATCCTATCTCGGCGGTCCCCATCCTCAGAAATTCGTTCGGCTAATCAGATTTTCTCGTGTGCTGGATGAATTTATTATACCTCTGGCGAAATTTAACTTTTGCCGGCCGACGCCCTCTCTTGTCACGTGCGCTGATTTATCGACTGCTTTTATTAAATTTCTTTCTTCAAATTTTTTTTATAACGCGACAAGTAAGAAGTACTTCAAGTTGAGAGTTTTTTACTCTCAGCACGACCGATTGGGTAATAAATTGTTTAATTCTTCCGGGCTGTGTGGTGAGTGTAGAAAAAAAATGCAAATTTCGGCTATGCGGGGAGAGCGTGTGTTGGTTTTTATTGCCTTTGCCGAAAGCTGTGCAATTACTTGTTGATGTCAATTAGTGACAGGCCGGTTGAGCTTCACATGCATGTGAACTGTTCGACTGGAATATCATCGGCAGGCACGAATATGGTGTTGAGTAACCAGGGGCGAGGTATTGCGAAAAAATTAAAAAATAATTTCTTCCTCAATATCAAATATCCTCCATCATAGTGTGGGATCAATATTCAAATTAATAAAGCTTTTACACTAACTTTTAAAAAAAGTAATAAACTTTAATAAAATCGAATTGATTTCCTGATACATCTTTACAAAAATAATAATCTTTTTTTTTAAGTGTTCTTGGAAAAAAGTGAAGGGTAAAAATTACCTTACCGTTAGCAATTATCCACTCAGGATTATCTGAATTTTTCAAACCTCATTAATTTTCACCCTAATTTGCTACTTTTTGCACCATTTTTTAGTTGTTAACAAATTATAGTTAAATCTTAAAAGGAAATCATTGTGATTTTCTTAAAAACAATATTTAATTTAATTTAAATTTTTTTGAAAGTTGTATGCTTTGGGCAGTCAGAAGTCAAAACTTGAAAACTAAATAATATTTTTTGCTAAGTAAACTAAAAAATAAAGCATCTTGTTACAAAAGTTTTATAAATCATTTTTAAATCTGGCATTTTTACTGACTTATATTTGTTATATTCTTGTAATAAAATTGTAATATTATTTTTGTATCTTTTTAGATTCATTTATTAAATTTTAAATAATTTTTTCCATATTTTAAAATATAGTATGATTTTTTCATGTGGAATTAAGAAAATAAATTATATTGCGTCAAAAATGATAAGCACATCCTACTGCCAATAGAAATTATTTATCTTTGCACCTCCTCTGATTTGTCTTAATTAAGGATTGCATAATATTTATAACATTAATACAAAAATTCAACTTTTAAAATTACACATCAAGTATAATGGGAAAAAATTTAACTGTGAAAAAACATTTCTATAAAATTTGATCAGGTATCTCTGAAAGTTTGTCATTTTCTCAGGTTAAGTTCGTGCCTTGACGCTCCTCTTTCTCAGGGTCGGTAAGAGGGCGGATGGAATTGGCGCGCACGACTTCAGCGTTTGAAAAAGGTCGTGCAGTGCGAGGGGAGGCGTCCGGGAAGGTCGTTCGTCAACCCTGCAGCCTGCGCGAGCTGCAGCCGTGCATGGCGAGGCGTGGCCGTTGGCCCGCCCCCGTGGCCCGTTAGCGCGGTCCCGTTCGCCGCCGCCGCCGCTCACTCGGTCGGTCCTTCAACCTGCTACGTCACGCGGGTGCCTCTAGCGTGCATGACACCGGTGACGTCACGAGAGCGGGCACGTTGCCAACCAAAATAACAATCAGAGTTGGTTACCCTCTGGATCGGCCGCTTCCGCGCCGCTTCGCCGCGCCAACTTCACACACGCTTTTCGCGCACCCACCGATCTCGCCTTTCGAAAGGGTTAAATTTTGCTCGGTGATTCAGCACCGCCGGATCGTCTCGGGGCCGATCGTTCGGGGGCCCACACGCTTCCCAGGGGGTTTCCCAAGGGAAAAAAAATCATAAATTTTTCTCAGATTTTGTAAAAGACAGAAAAGCACCAAAAATTTATTATTAATATTTTTTAATGCAGTTTCTACATTAAATTAAAAATTATAGTCTATATTTTTAAAAAAATCAAATAATTTTGCTACTTTTTATAAAGCCAAACTTTTCTTCTTCCTCTGTTGATATTCAGCATGGAGAGCAAAAATAATTTGAAATATTAGAGCCCAATTTTGATTTATAAACAATTTTTTAATTGTATTTTGTTTTTCAAAGAACAGCCTTGCAAATATTGTTGTTTTTAATGTTCGCAGATTTTTTTTGTCTAAATTTTAAACTTAATTTTCTATAATCTTGCGTTTTCGTGTTTCAGCCGTCAAATTTGGACGCATGTCCAAAAAACAGCGCGAGAAGGTCGAGGATGAGGTGCGGTTTCACAGAGCCCAAATGCGGGCCGCAAGTGAAACAGCCCCAGACAGCTCCATGTTCGAGCAGCAACAGCCGTCGTCGTCAGATCAATTGCCTTCCTATTCTTCAGGAGGGTCAGTACACATTTATTTTATTACAATTTAATACACTTTTTAACAAACAATATAATTATTTAATTTAATTTTTATAATATAACATTTTTTATTATTTATTAAATAGACTTATTTTAATATGATATATATTTTTTTATTTATATTTTTAATTAATTAATAAAATACTTTTTCATTTTTTTTTTAGTTTATAACATGTTCTAAATTGCAAAAAATTATGATTTAGCAATATAATCACTTTTTATATACTCCACACCGTGTCCATTAGATTCTTTGTGTGAAACAAATAATTTATTCCGATTTCTAAAATCTTTGAGATGTTGAAAATTATTAATTATTGTTTTTATTAGCTAAATTCTTGATTAAAATAACATTTTAAGTTAAGATCCTTGAATGAATTTAATTATTTATTGCTGTTTTTTTTTCATAAATTAGGATAAACTAATTTATAAATAAATATTAAGTTCCACGCCGTGATATCCACAAAGTTAAAGCTAAATCCACCATAATAGTCTAAATTTCAATGCACTTTGCTGTTTTAAAAACAGTAAAATTCCGACGCGCAGTTAGATTAATTGCAAATTTTTAATTGCTCATTCGGTAATTGTATTAAATTGTGCGGTATTTTATTTGGCGTTGCAGGTACCAGTATGGCAACGATCTGAGCACATACACGCCGAACGGTTACGTTTTCACGAACACGCCGCCCCAGACGGGCATGGGCTACGACATTAGCGCAGACTATGTGGACAGCACCACGACGTACGACCCGCGGCCCGCGAGCTCCACACAACTCGACCAGATTGCGGACAGCGCGCTCATTCCAGCCAGCAACACCACGGGTGAGACCTCAAAAACCATTTTTTTTATCCCATTTAAAAATAATAAATGAAAAAAAAACGCACAGAGCGAGATTTGATCAGACTGGGACGTTTCCTCTTGCACAGTTTTATAATATTGTGTGGGATATTTTTTTACCGCGGCACTGCGTGGCTTTAATCAAACGTGGCTCTTTTTTTAGATCTAAAATTTAATATTAATAAATCTTTTATCTGATTTACAGCCTTTTTAAAGTTATTACTTCCACTTCTTAAAAAAAATTTACTAATGATTTCTAATATTTCAATGCTCAATTAAAATCTTCTGCTTTTTCTTCAAACAAATTCATCATCTAACTTAAACAACAACAAAATACTCCGAGTAAATTTAAATCCTTCAATATTCCATGAATTAAAAATTATTTATTTTATTTACTTAAAATTTTTTTAAAATATTAAGCCACAGCACGTGAGGACATTGTGTGTTTTTTTGAGTCCATTCGCCCAAACGAGCACGGATTTCCGTTTCCCAGAGTGCAATTTGTGGAAGATTGGCTCTCTCATTTTCTCGCCCCATCCTCACTCATATCACAGTGCGTGTCGAGAGCTCCATCGCCGGGAAAAGTTCATTCGTCCACCCACACACCTGTCATTCTCACAGGCCTCTTGTGTTGCACACACCTGCATGCTCTCTTTCTCATTTCTGGTTTTGTGTTTTATATATTTTGTTTTCCGTTTCCCTTCTCCTATTCGGGGCTTTTTCAAAATCACTTAAGGATATAAATTTTTTTTTAAACGTTTATTTGAATTTTTAATGTATAAAATTGCTAAATTTCGGCCGATTACGGATGTAAAGAAATTCCTCCGGCAGCTTCAGCGCCGGCCAAGTGCAACGGCAGCGAGAACAACGACGACGCAGAGAGGAGCGTGACCAGACTCGGAGGGCCGGACGCGGCCGCGTCCATCAAGCAGGAGTCGATGGAGCAGCCGTTGCCGGTCAGCACGTGCGCGACCGCGACCACCACCTCCTCTTCTCCCTCCTCTTTGAACAATAACAGTAATAACCTGGTGGTGTCGGGCGGTTTTGTAGATAGTACCACTTTCACCTCAAGACAACAGCAACTCCTGCAACCCCCGCAGCCGCAACTCCAGCCGCAGCAGCCCGAGCAAGAGCAGGAGGCGCCCGTTGCGCACCCCAGTAAGGACGACACCTCTGTTTTCTTGAAACACCGAGATTTATATTTTCTGATCCGAGTATTGAAATAGGATTTTGAGAGCTGCGAAAAAAAATCCCGATTAAATTTGCATTTGCCGAATTCATGGCGTTTCTCATCAAATTGTGTCCCAAATTCCGACAAAAAATAACGCTCTCAATCTCTAATTAGCATACATATGTGTCTTGTCTTTATATATGTGATATGCGAGCACCCTCTAAAATTTTTGTAAATATTTTGCATTTTTACATCTCCTTGTATATTATTTTGTTGGTTTGCATGCTTTCCAATAATTTACTAACCCTTCTATAATTAGGCATCTTTCTCTCTATCTTTCTGCATCTTTTCCATTTTTGCATCTTCTCATTTTTCGTCCATGCCGAAATTGGATTTTAAACAATATATCAAATTGGCCAGTTTATTAATTATTATTACACCGGATTCAATATTTAAATTTGTGATAAACTCATTTTTTGTGTGTCTGTGCAATTTTTTTGCCTGCTGGTCCGTTGACGATTATTTTCAATAGCAATTTTACTGCGTGTTTATTATTTCAAAAAATTTCGCGTTTCGGTTCGATTTTGTTATTCTAAATTCCTGTCTTCTTTCAACAGACCCGGTGCAGATCTCAGAGTTGCTGTGTAAGACGATCGCCGACGCCCACGCGCGCACCTGTCTTTACAGCATGGACCACATTCAGGACATGTTCCGCAAGCCCCATGACCTCACCAAGGTCATCTTCTACAAGAACATGGTAATGTTTTCCTTTTTGAACACGTACTTCTAATGATAATCACAAATTCACAGGCGCACGAGGAACTGTGGCTAGAATGTGCCCAGAAACTCACCACTGTTATTCAGCAAATCATCGAATTTGCAAAGATGGTACCCGGCTTCATGAAGCTGTCACAAGACGATCAGATCGTTTTGCTAAAAGCAGGTGTGTATAGCAAATTGATTCTAAAAATAAATAATTTTAATTATACGTTTATTTTAACAAAATTTTATTATATAATTCTCAAAATAGTTCAGAAGATCTCAAATTATTCCACAAATTTTAAATAAGACAAAATTAAAAATCATTCAGACAATTTTCAAAATTAAATGAATCAACGATATGCAATTTCTTGCCTTCCAAGTTGCACAGGTTGCATACCTTGCAAGTCGTTTTTGTGAATTGCATTTGATTTGTGGTTTCTTGCGCGATTGCAGGTAGCTTCGAGTTGGCTGCCCTGAGGATGAGCCGCTACTACGACGTGAACTCGGGCTGTGTTCTTTACGGAGACACGATGCTGCCACAAGACGCCTTTTTCACCACTGATACAACAGAAATGAAGTTGGTCACCAATGCCTTCGAGCTAGCCAGAGCCGTGGCCGAACTCAAGCTAACTGAAAATGAACTCGCGCTCTACTCTGCCTACGTCCTCCTTTCCGCAGGTAAGAAATTTAAAATAATGTTTTAAACTTTTATATAAGTTAAATTAATATTTATTTACTCCAATTTACTCAAATAATAAATTCACACTTTTAAATTAATTTTTAAATTTTAACTATTATATTTTGTTTTTACTAAAAAGCTATATTAAATTTATTGACTTTCCAAATTTAGTTTTCACTTGGTACAACAATTTTACAATTTAAAACTTAAAAATAATAGAAAATAATAATTTATTGTTGAAAGTAACGAAAGTAACATTGTCCATAAAATTTCATCAAAATTAAATCTCATGTCAGTAAGTAAGGATTGAAATCTTATTAATATAAATAAATTTTACATATATGCATACAAAATTGAAAGTTTATATTGAATAGCAGGTAAATAGATTAGTTTAAAAAATCCCCTTATTCTACTAGTGGAATTAAAATTTTCATGTTTAATTAAGATCTTATTTTATTTTAGATCGTCCTGGTCTTAAGGGAATGGCTGAGATCAGCAGGTTGAGCCAAGCGGTCCTTCGGGCGCTCCGGATGGAGCTCGACCGCAACCACCGATTACCACTTAAGGGGGACGTCTTGGTTGGGGACGCACTCATCGCGAAGATGTCTGAGCTTAAGTGAGATTTTTTTCTTGTTAAAATCTCTGAATTTTTTTGCTATAATTTCCAAATTTTTGCAGAGAGCTGAACATGCTGCACATGGAAGCTCTGGCCAAGTTCAAGCGTTCCACGCCGCACCTCGAGTTCCCTGCTCTGCACAAGGAGCTTTTCTCCGTGGATAGCTGAGCATCCGTGGAATAGAGAGCAGAGGTGAGTTTGCGTTTTGCCTCTGCGCTCAAACCAGAGATGCTTATGACAGCTGTTGGGAAATTCCCAGGTTCCAACATCTAACGAAAAAGCATCAGTTTTGCAAAAAGAAGAACGTGTGAAGAAGATCAACAAGACAGAAGAGTCACACTTATCATCGTTTTAAAATTATGATTTGACAATTAACTAAAAAAAGAAATTCTATATTAACTCATACCTGCCGGACTTGTACACACACACAAACAACAAACAAACTGAGAATAATTATCCCCCAAAAAATGAAGCAGACTCGGGAGAGCAGCGCCCATTCCTCGATATTTGTACTGACGAAGCCCGCAAAACAAAAATTACAAACTCTTATTAATTAATTGATTGATTACTACAAAGTATAATTATTGGTTAGTTATTGGAAAATATACTCGAATGAAATACACTACTTTTATCCTTAAATAAGGCTGGATTCAAGGAAGCGGCCGGCCCGTCCTCGGACGCGCCGGTCCTTCGATCAGGGAAACAGAATTGTTGATGTTAATTAAATATACACTGTTGTTGCTGTAATAATAATACTGACTAAGCCAATAAGGATTGATATACTGAACCGCAAGGAGACAGACACAAGACACACACACACAATACGACAGAAAGAGAGGATACTTTAAAAATTTTCTTTGCGTTTTACAAGACCGATTGAATATTTTTTTTCCAATACACACACATCACTCGTTCACAAACTTTTCCAAGTCAGAGCAGCCCGTTTATATATCAACAAAGAATAACGAGAGCACAATATTCGTACCGTAATTGTTTATAAAATACAGCCGCGCGAGATATGAATTATTCAAAACGCAAAGTGTATATTCATTGCAAGAAAAAAAACATAAAACTTATAATAGAACTGAGACTTAAAATGACGATTGCTGCTAGGGCCACAAAGTAGAAAAATCGAGTATTAAAAGAATTACAAAACTGTTTAGAATTGAACTGGACTTATTGCGATTAAATTTAAAACACACACACACATTGAAAGAAAAAGCTTAGATTGTGAGGAAAAAGTCTATATAATGTAAAAATCAAGGCGCACGTGCGCGAGCAACAAGAATATATTATTAAATTAACGTTTGCCTTATTGTAGATGTTGTACGTCGTTTTTAAAAGCCATGAAGAGAAAAATCGCACTGGATGACGAAGTGATTGATACATAAGAAAACAAACAAATTATATACCGCGGTGGTGTGTTGCATCCAATAACTACCTAATTAATACGAGCAGAGGATTTATAACTAAGTGTGTCTTATTCGAAAATTTGCACTCAACAATAATACATAAAAAAAAGACGAGGAGAACGGAGAGAAAATATACCCACGGGCGGGCAATGAGGCAAAAATTCAGATAATAATATTTCACTGAATGCTACTATTAAACACACGTACTACTAAACTAATTAATTAATTATCGTATAGCGGAATTTCAAGAGATTATCAAAAACAATGTTTGAGGCAGAGAGTAAAAAAAAATTGAAATTAAAGAAATCTGCTACTCTGTACTGTAAAATTCTTCATTATCCCCGGAGACAAAAGCACGTATTCAACATGTTTTATTAGCGCATGAAATTTGTATGTACACCGACTCTTGCAAAAAAAAAAATTAACGAAAAGAAATGTAATGTGCCCACGCAGTGTAGTGAAATCAAAATTTATAATCACGTACGTACGTCTTGTGTTTGAAGGAAATTCTCTGTTGTCGACTCCTTGCCCATGTAATTTCCCGAAATTTGGTTTCTCTTTTTAAAACTCAAAAGGATTTTCCAAAATACAAACATCTGAAGGACCAAGCTACTAAAACACTCAACAACAATTAAACAAGTGGACAAAAACGAGAAAAGCGCGAAGGAATTTTTTAATTATCACCCAGTGTGTGTTCAGTGAGGCATAAAACAAATTCCAAAATTTCAACCAAAAGGGGATCGTTCAGTTTTGCAATTTTCCAAGCATAGTGGCCTTCAAAACCAGTGTTTTACAAACGAGGAGTTGCGATCGGTTGAGAGATTCACTGAAGACTTTTTCACCTTTTCCATTTTGCATAACGGTTACAGTAAAAATATTTAAATATAAACGAAAAAAATACAAAACAAGTGCGAGACTCTTCTTTTGCAAGAGTCTCCGACTTTCGGATTGCTTGGTCCTGGTTTTTGCCCTTTGTTATAATTTTCTAGGAAAAAAACGAGCATAAAAATGAAAACTCAGTACACACACACATATAAACACACACAACACTCACGCTGTGTATCCAGTTGATAAGAATAATTACGATATATTACGATTTTCTCGTGCGGATGAATGCTGATCATTTTCCCGGTGTAAATGTCTGTTCACACTCTTAAATCTTAGGACAATGTTCATTACTAACCTCTGCTATTAATTAATAAGTAATTGTTTAATTCTATACATGCGATAGGATATATAGCAAGAAGATGAGATGATTTGTTGTTTTTATGTAATGTTGTTATGGAAATATGAAAATGAGTTATATGATTAATTATTGATTAATTATGCTGCGCATTGTGTTGTGATAGACACAATTCGGTTTGGTCTTAAGTGCTTTTGGACTCCCCGCAGTTGTTGAAAAATTTTAGCTTCAAACAAAACAAAAAAAATCACACAATCGGCGCCGGCGAACTGAAGAAAGAAAGTTTATATATAAATAATTATCGTTTAAAAAGCCGGGGAGTCCAGAAGGTGACAAGAAGTGAATTTAAAGAAAGTAAATTTGGATTTTACTGGTACCTGCTCTAATATGATGATGAGATGATGGAAGTAACTTTTTTTCGTGTTATAAAATAATTAGGAAAATGCTTGTGTTCTTTTCCGTAACTGCATAATAATTGTAATTTTTAATTAATAATCAGCGCGTCATTTCGAGTTGAAAAAAACCAGGCATCTTTGGCTAGTGTGATTGATTCAATTGATTGTAGAAATCGTAGATCACTATGTGGAAGGCAAAGTTCTTATTTTGTAAGAAAAATCACGCAATTCGATGTGAATATTGTTTTATCCATCCAAAAGCAGAAAAAAAACTCGACTCGTAATCCGCCGTTTATATCAAACTAAAATTCTCGTTTCGGAGAAGAAGAAAATGTGTAAATCCAGTCCTGTGTTGAGTTGTCCACAAATAAGTGTGAGAAAAACTGAGGAAAAATAATTAACAAAAATCATCATCTCACTTGTAAAACGGAATAGATAAAAATGATAGTAAGTTTAAGTGGAGAATATTTTACACAACCACAATAACATAATTATATACACACAATTACATTTTTATTTACTCTACTATTACGTGTATATATTGTTTACGTTTTTTGATTTCATCAAAAATGGAGAAGAAGAAACAAAATATATATACACAAAATTGAAAAAAAAAATACAAATGTTGTAAATGTTAAGAAAAACTACTTTTTTTGTTACACACTGGAGCGCAGATTTTGTTCAGTTCTGCCACATGATGATCCATTTTTACTTAAGGAAATTTGAAAAGATCGTACATATTATATTATTTGTAAAAGAAAAATATAGAAAACACCACGATGTCTCCTCTCATTTCAGATTTTGTAATAGAATTTAAACATTAAGTAAGAGAGATCATGTCCAAAACCGCGAGCCAAAATACCAAGGCTTTCCGCCCGCGTGCGGTCCAGCACCATACAAAAAAAAGAGACGAGCCGATTTCGGTCGAATTGTCGACAGCCCTGGCGGCTTCAAATAAATCATCCCCGAAGGCACCGACGCCGCCGGAGGGTCTTTGTTACCTTGGCTCGTGGTGATCATAGAGGAAGAACATGAATTTATTATAACTTATCGGTTGTGGGCAAGGTTGGTTATTTATTCTCTCTCACCTCTCTTTATTCACTTTCTCCTATGATATAGAAACTAAAACTATAAATGTTGCTGTATGTATAAGAGAAAGCATTCTGGGACATTTCATTAAAGTGGTATTTTGGCTAGATCTTGGCTTGTTTCATTTTTCAATATTGAACCCCAAATTTTTAGGAAAATATCGACAGGTAAAAACGTTTTCTAAAAAAGAAACCTTTTATATAAAAACAGAACAAAAATATTCAATTTGAGCAGACTTTATAATATAAATTTTGCTTTGCAATCCATTATTTTACCAAATTATTGATTGATGAAAATACATGCAAAAAAATTAAAAAACAAGTTAATTAATAAATTGAAAATTTTATTTTTTCATAAATAAATCCAAGACATTAAAATCCTCCTATGACGTTGCATGGATTTCAAATCCAAAATAAATACATTTTAACTATATGAAATTCAATAAATAAAAAGTTCTAAATCACAGAAGACTTTGGAAAAAAATTACCTTTTAATGATGATAATATTGGCAAAAAAAAAAATAGCTTATGACTTGCAAGCAGACCATTTTTATTTAGAAAAAAATACGAGTATTCTATCGGCAAGATGGGAACAGAAGTTTTGAGTGAAAGTTGAGCCTTTGTTAGCATTTCCTGAGATGATTCCAGACTGCCATTACCTGCAAGGCGTATTTTAGTCTGTGTGTATTTTGATTTATTTTGATATTAAATTTATAATAACATTTTATAATACAATGTTATTTTAATAAAATATATAATTTTTTTAAATATTTTTTATTATTTTTATATATTTTCAATAAATTAAAACATCATTAATTTTTATATAAGGAAATAATTGGTCATCCTGAAAATTGAATTAATAGTTAATTTTAATAGCATAATTATAAAGTTTTTTAGTGACAAAATATTTATTGAGCAACACTTTTTCTGTTCAAATAATGATATACGTTGCAAGTTTAATTTCAACATATATTATGTTGAAAATTTATGATCATATATTTACAGTTATATTCAAGAGCAGACAATAACTCGATCTAAATGCAAGCAAATTTAATCGTGTTTGGCACAGTCATTTTTCTATAAAAAAAAATGACTGAACTGGCTCACATTTACAATTAAAATTGTAAAAAAAATTATTTACCTTATTATTTACTTCTATTGACTTATTAATGTATTTTTTTACACTTAGAAAATTTTTAATATGTTCAAAAGCTAGAAGCTCTAATTAATTTTTCGCCATAAATATTTTGGTAAATCGTAATTGGATTTAATGCCTATTTTTTAGTTAATTTTTTTTTACTTATTCGTCAAATTGTTACATCACATTGTTTAGATTCGATTTTTTATTTGAAAGAATGCAACAATGTTAATTTTCACAACAATACGAATTGAATTTATCGCATTCACCGTTAAACGGTTCGCATTGTTGCAATTTGCTTCTTTTCAAATCAGACCGTTACGACATTGCTAAGAATTTTGGAGAGAATCGCGAATTTCATCTGAGATATATTTCTGGTGTCGATGGCCGTTTCCGTGCCTGATGTTCTTTTCGGTCCGGTGAAGCAGGTGCGATGGAAAACCGCCTGGCGCGTTGGAGAGGAAGAGGGAGTGTCTCTCATCGTCAAGGAGACATCCAAGTTGTCTTTGTACAGCGCCAGGCTGCACTTGGGAATCCCTCCGAGACGAACAGAAAGTAAGTTTTTTGTGCATTTTAATACACCGATGATTAATTTTTTCGCACAATCAAATTGTCTATTGATTGCGCGAAGAAATTGTTTGATTTGAAATTGCCCCGATGGCCTCTTACGGAATTGAAGTGATCTGGCAATATTTAAGTGAGATTTTTAAGTGATTTTGAAAAATTAGAAAAAGTGAAATCTCGCTATTTTAAGAAAGTTATGGGAGTTTTGAAATATAACAAGAACACCTATGTGTACAAACTAGTTGACGAGAAATTATTTGTAAATGACTTAAAAGAAAAATACGATCTCCCGGAGACTGAAAATTATTTAAAGTTCCTTGAGAGTTATAATTCTGAACATGACATTAGATTTAATGTTAACTTTAATGTCACACCGGAAATGAGAAATGATGTATGGAAACAACCCTTATTTGATAAACGCCATGTTTTTTGTCGATATGTCATGCACGGTTTTTAAAACCAAATCTGTAGCAATAGTTCCGAGCGACAGCAGTGCTTCGATGAAAGTGATTCCTGCGTGTGTTTGCTATGCGGTGAGAAATGCACCCAGTACCACCTGGCCGAGTGCAAAATCGCATCCTTAGTATTAATGACTATTCAAAAATGAAGTAAAAGACTTTGAATTTATTTTGTCGCGCACCACATTGAAAATTGCTTTGTAAAATTTTTTTAGTTAAGTTGAAGTTGTACTCGAATGAGTTGCAAATAAAAGAATATATAATTATTTATGATAAAAAATACAGGCCTTACCCAGCACGCCAGGGCAATATATCACCACTTGAAGCGCCTTCGGTGCGCCCGCGTCACCGGCATCAAGTACACCAGGCCGGCCGCTGGTTGCCCTTCTCAACCTGCACGGGCTGCCGAAGAACCTGGCGGAGCAGGCAAGGGATGATCACGAGGCCCTGGAACTGGAGCCGCTGTTCCACTTGGCCATCATCAATGGTTACACCGTCCTTGAGAACTGTGGTAAGAATTTTTCATGGTGTATGATAAGATGAGAAAAATTATTTTCGTTAAACTCGCAGGCAAAAGGGCCCTCAGGGAGTACATTCACGAACTCAAATTCGCCCTCCCTGATGATGATGAGCCTGGACGAGCCCGAGGACGATGGAGTTGAGGGGCAGGGACCACAACAACCGCGCGCCTCCCTCTTTCAGCGCTTGATGCAGTTCTTTGGACTCCTCTTGTGGTGATCCAGTGGTCGAAGGCAATTCCTAAATTTAGCAAGATTCTTTTAACCAATGCATTCATTAAAAAAGCCAAGAAAAATTATTTTCTACTTTTTTTAATTTTAAACATTTTTGAAGTAAATTTTGATACTTTTCTTACAAATATGTTCCAGTTTGTATTAAAAATTAAATATGTATAATTAAATTTCATTTGAATTTTTTTTTTTTTTTTAATAATGTGGCTTGCAGTTTTCCATTTAAATTATCAAAATAAATATGGTGCGACAAGTGGTATTGACATTTCACACCTTTTGACTGCGTTATTTTAGCCAGGTTCATTGAGTGTATGAGCTTGAGATGAATTTCATAAGGTCAATAAAATAATATTTGCAGCAATGGATATAGCAGAATTTAATTTTTTTTATTTTAATAATAAATTCAATTAAGTTATTTATTTAATTAATTCAAAAAATTCCTTATATTATATGTCTCATGATTTTTTAATTCATTAAACATTTAAATTACAATTTTTTAATTAAAATAATTATGAACAAACATAATATAATTATATGATTCATATAAAAATTACCAATTCTGTTTAAAAGATAATGAATATTTTTATTTTATATTTAAATAAGCTACATGTCTGGTTTTATCAGAGTGCTTTGATCCAGTCAATTTCCATCGAGCCAGGCCCGGATTGTTTCTGCTCCGAATAGACTCCTCCATACACTTGCAGGCCAACTGCAGTGATTTGGCTCAGATCAAGAGGATCAGCGTCTGCAACTGGCTTTCCACGGTAATAGGCAACAAATTCGCTCAGGGGCAGATCAATCTCCTCAAATTCGTTTGGCTTCGCCTGTTTAAAAAGTTTTTAGCAAAAATAGTGAAACTGAATTATAAATATAACAATAAAAAAATATATAAATCGATTTCTTTTCTATATCAGAAGAAGAAGAAAATATAACAATTATATCGAAGTTTAACAATATTAATATTTAATTATACTTTTTAATTTATTTATTAAATAATTGCCATGTTTTTCTCCCATACAAGTACATAAATTATATTATTGATATGCTCTTAAGTCAATTCAAAAATATTAAATTTCAAATTAAAAAAAAAATCGGATTTTTTTTAGTTTTTTTTCCGTTACCAAACAAAACTCTAAAAATATACATACTGTAAAAAACTTCTCGTAGGTTGGGAATGGTTCCCCAGTCTCGCCTTTGTGCCTGAGCACCATTTTGTAGTTCAAGTTCTGTCCCTGCACCCTGGCCTTCATTTTAATAGTCCTGTAAGGCGTCAGGTCGAGCTGGACCGAAGTTCGGACACCAGCAAATCCAGCGCCATTTGGTTGCGGATTCAGCAGAGAGAAGAAAATCGCCCTTTGGAACACCTGAGAATTTTTTTATTTTACATATCTGAAATTTAATTCCGTCCAAAATTTGAAAACCTGGGTCTTCTGAAGGGTTAAGGCAGCCTTGGACATGCCCACCGTGCGAACAACGTCGGACATTTCGCTCCAGTCGGCCACGGAATTCGCAGTGGTGAAGTCGAAGAGGAACATTTCCGACGCTTGTCTGCAACAATCAATAATTTGTATTGTTGGTAGATTACAAAAATATTGAGTTATCTACCGGCTTTTTGATGAGCTGGCAGCTACATTGGAGAGAGCCACGCTGGAAACGATGCCCACTAACCAGCCAGCTGCACCCAGAGCTAATCTTCTTCCAGACATTTATCTTCTATAAAATTATAAATTTAATTAATAATGCTTTAAGCAAAACAGAAAATGTATTATTTAAATAGTGTATGAAATCCTGGCATGAACCAAATAAAAGTATATTATTATTTCGTTACATAACAGTTTTATCAAATTTTTATGCGTTAATATCATTCAAAATTAGGTCGTTTTTTGTCTTTCATTGAATTCATGCCAGTTTTTTTTTTTTTCAAACATTATAATAATCAGTCTCAATAAGTAATTTTTGTTTTATTTATTAATGATTTTTTTTTAATGTTTATTAACATACCAAAGGCGCTGCGTTTCTCGATCAACTGTGCTGTTCTCCTGGTACATCTGAACTGGCCCCTGAGGCCTCCGACTTGTTTACCATTTACGGATCATGCGCTCTATCTCGAAGGCGTGGTGCTCACTTGGTGCTCATTCGGCGCCAAGTCAGCACCATTTTATCACAAATCTTTGAAATGAAATCGAATTTCTGCTTGGCAATATATTTTTTATTCTCCTCTTTTTAATAAATAACACACAATCTTGACCGTAACTATATATTTTCCAATACACTCTTTTTCATATAATTTTTCTCCTCTCATTATATTATGATTTTTGTACACAACAATATTCGACTCAATAATTTTATTGTTCTCCAATTTATACATGAACTCTTTGCAACATCTATTTACGTATGTACTAACGATCAGGTTCTTCCTTCTGCGTACAAAAGTTGCGGATGAGGGGAAATATGTAACGTTTTAGAATAACATTTATCGATTTTAGAATTCTACACAGAATCTGTCATTCCGTTTCTATACAAAACTATTCACCTTCGTCTAATCATGGCACCTTATAGAAGGGCGCGTTTTAAATTTTTGAGACAAAAAAAAATAAGAAAGTGGACAAAAGTTCATCAAGACAATGTGGGCAATAGACTAATCTCTAGCCTGAGCTTTTGTTGATTTGAGGCTACTATAAACCTTTCAAAAATCCAAATTATAAATTTTTTGGTACCAAATAATCAGATACATGTTATCATTATAAGAAAAACTAAATTTCGAAAATCGAAGAGAAGAATCCATCAAAAAACTGTATTCTGACTGATGTATAAGCTTCAAAACTGAATCTAATTAGCCAGTCCCAACAAAAAAGCTCAGACTAGTTTAGTCTTTCGTTTTGGCTAAAAAAAGAAATAACTAAAATTATCCCATTTGAGCAAATGCATATGTCAAATTGAATTTAAAAGTCCTAAAACTACAAAATAAAGCAGTTTTTTTTTCTTCGAAAAATGATGTAACAAAAACAATAAAAATAAAATGTTCCAATGAAGAAATAAAATGAGAATTTGCAAATCTCATTCTTATTTAAGAACTATTCAAAAACTTTTTAGTATATTATTCATGATTTCTTTAAATGAGTTTTCAAATTCCTCATTTAACTTTCCTAAAGATAATTTCCAATCCCAATTTGGGAAACGATTTCTATGTAAAGTAATATCTCATTGCTGGTTAACATGGGAGTATTAAAAATTCACACGACTTCAACGGGGGGCGACTGCGGTGAAATAAAATCGCTGGCGTCTCACAACCTTGGATACAATTTATCAAAAAACGTCCCTTCCGCGAAACTAGAAGGCTCGTCGTAAAAAAAAAAACACCCCTTCAGAGGTCCAACTCGAGCAGCACCCTGAAAAGCGTGCCCTCCGACAATCACACATTCACTGAGCGCGTCGTCATGAGTTGCTCAACGGATCGGAGGCCGGTGGGTCGGAGGCGGCTCTGCAGGGCCGCCTCCGAACCGCTGTGCACCCCCGAGTCGATGGTGGCGTCGCTGTCGCCGCGCAGGGGGGCGTCGTCTTCAGCGCCACCCTGCCGAGGCTCGTACTGCGCGTCCGGCGCCAAACGCTCGTTGAAGGGGCGCCCCCGCGGAGGGGGAGGGGAGGGGATGGATGAGTAGTGCGACGGGGGTTGTTCGGGGGTGGTGGACGGTTCGTCGTACAGGGAGGACTCGGGCCCGCCGTTGCAGGAGGAAACGTCTGCAAAGTACAGTTCGGACTCGGCTGGTTCCGTTGACGAGCTTTTCATGGCGGCTTCGACGCAGTGGCGACGAAGGGTGGGGATCGAAGCAGCCTAAAAAAAAAAAAAATAGAAAATGAAAATGTGTTGAACGAACATCTCAAATTAGAATTCTTTCTTGTAGAGTTTAAAAATATTTTATAATTTTAAAAGATTGATAAATTAGGAAGATTTATGTATAGGTTAGATGAAAATAGTGAAAAATTGACAACCAATTTGAGCTGTACATTTTTTTATGACGTATTATTAATATTTGTAATAAAAAAATTTCTTATTAAAAACATTTTTTCATAAATTTTTTTATAATATATATTTTTAATTTATATTTTAACTTTAACTTTAAAGTTTTTTTTAATTTTTTATATTAAATTTTAACATGTTTAAGTTTAAAGTAATTTAAGTACATATATATGAAATACAAATAAACATTGTAATTAATAAAATGTATATTATTGAGTGATGTACCAATGAACAATATAATAAATAGTAGTAGAACAAATTTCTTTTCAGCCAGGTTTTTCGGCAGTCTTCAAGGATATGGTTGTTTTAATAATATAAATTAAAAACTTAGTGATATAGAAAATTAAACTCAATTTGCAATCACATTTTACTATGCAATTGCAAAGTAATAATTTATAATAAATTGTATGCCTTGTTAAATTTGTTGTTAACAAAAAATCTTAATTTTTCTTACATGTTTGGTACAAAATTTTCACAATTTTATGCAAGACTGAATTGTAAATAGGAGGTAATTTTAAAAAAAGAAAATATTTGACATTTACCTTCAAGGGACTGTTGATGGCACTTGTGGGCGCGGACTGCGTCAAACTTCTTGTCGTCGGGTGCACCAGCACTGGACTCCCGGGCATGTTCCCGAAGAGCCCCCTGAGGCTACTCGCCAGTCCCTTTCTGCTCGGCGAGTCCGTCGGAGAAATGGCAGAGGAAAGTTCAGATTCCTGTAAAATGGTTTAATTTTTTTTTTATTACAAGTCAAATTTAGACAACAATTAAAGGTTGTACCTGAGAATCTACTTTGGAAATTTGTGCGTCGGCAGGTTTCTTTTTGAGCTTCCTTGAGGGCAAAGAACCTGCTGCTGATGTGACGGGCGGAGGAAGGTCTGCTAACGACTTGATGGCCTGAACGTTCTCCGCTCGAAGACGAGCGCAGTATGGACTGCTTGTGTGGGTACTGGAAAAAATTAATAAATAATTAGCAATTATCCAAGCAATTCAAACTAATTGGTAAAAATAAAGCATTCGGATTTTTATATCGCGACATGAAAAATGTTAATGTTAATCAGGAAATAAGATTTAATCAAAGTAATTTATTGATTTCAAAGTTATTTATTTGGTAAAAGCTGGGTAAAAGGAAATTGTATAGATAATTTATAATGTGCTTATTTTTATATAAATTTTGCAGCCTCTATTTTCTGTAGTTATTTTGTTAGTGTGACTGTTTTTTTTTTTTTTTTTTTTTTTTTAATTTTTAGTGTAGAGTTTTGTCGTGTTTGCGTTGTTATTCTTTTGAAAATTTTTATTCTTTAGAATTACGCAGGTAAAGTAATTTCCTTTTTTCTAGTTCATGACAAATGCCTATTTTAACAACAAAATTACATTTTTTTTTACTAAAAGTCTGATAAAATTAAAAAAAAAATGAAAACTTGAAATGTATAGGTTTTTAAGATATTCCTAATAATAATTTACCCTAACAATTTGTATTCAAAGTGCCAATTTTAAACAAAAATTCTGCTATTATTTAATTTCAAAAGTGGTATTTAAAATAAATAAAACCATTATTTTTTAATTAGAATAAATAACAAAAAGTTATATTTAATTAAATGTGATGCGCACCTGTGCTGTCTTGCGGTGATGACAGGCGACTGCAAAGGACTGACTGGGTGGTTTTGCGGGCTGGCAGGGGTTGACGTCTGCTGCTCGCAGTGGTGGTGATGGTGGTGCAACATGGTCGGCGTGGCCAATCCCTGGTGCACGACGTGCGTGTGCCGCTGGCACAAACTGCAAACGTCGAACATGTCAAAGGCGAACAAACAAACAAACAAACGTTACTTTACCTAGAGTGCTGCTGCTGATCTAGCTGAGGTAGCGCCGGCGCCTGTCTCGAAGGACTGGTGGCCGTCGAGTTGCCGGCCGTCGACGGCGGATGAGAGTACGGGGGCGGCGGACCCCACATGTACCTCGGAAGGCTCGAACTGGCGTCGGTCATGAACGCCTGCGCCGTCAACGGACGCACCACGGTCGACGTCAAATGTCCTGCAATTCATTCCACAAAAATCGTTTAGTTTAAATTTCAGTTCTTGATATTCCGGGAGAAATTTAATTTTTTATTAGTTTGAAGTGTAGGACTTTATAAAGAGCCTATAAGCTTTACTAGGCATTGGGAATCAAGTATTTAAAATTTGATCGTTTTTTTTTTCAAATTTAATTAACAGTCATACACTATTTTATAAATAATTTTCACAAAATCTTTAGCTATTATAAATAATGATTTACGTTATGAAGGCTAATGATGAATATACTTTTGTTTAATAGATTAATAATTAAAAATAATATTTATTTAAATAGTATAGCATTCATTTTATAATTTATTATATTTTAAATTCATTTATCTTTAAAATAATAATTTTCAATAATGTATTATAATTTTTTTTTAGATTTTAACCATTTTAAATGTACTATATTTTTTTTATTTTTAAGCATGCAATATTAAATATTTTATTCAAATTTTTTAATATTTTTATTATCTGATCAGCGGATTATCAGAATATATCAATAATTTTAATGAAAAACGTAATTTTTCACCTCTCACCTACTTCTCCTTGTATATTGAGTTCATTTTAATATCATATATAAAATTAAACGACTCAAATAAAAATATACGTTTAATTTAATTTCAATATTATGTTGAAGATTCATGATTATATAACCAAGAGAAGACAATAAGTCAATCTAACTCCAAGCAAATTTGAACGTGTGAAAGAGTCTCATTTCTCTGTAAAAAAGTCTACTGGCTTAAATATACAATAAAAATTTTCTATAAAAAAAATTTTACAAAATTTCTTTTGGCATATTAATATATATAATTTACTCTTGCAGCAAAACTAACGAGAAAACAAGATTTGAAAAAATAGACAAAGTGGTTAAAAAAGTTGCTGAAAAATATTTCAATAAAAATATGTTGTTTATATTGTCAAATATTATAAATCAGAATGACTTAATTCAACATAGATATCAGAATCAATTTAATGAGGCAGAGTAATGACTTTTTACCAATTGTTTAGAATGAAATGTCCATTTAAATGAATATGCGACGTTGAAAGTTTCTGTCGGTCGTCGACTGTTATTCTGTTAATTCAGAAAGTTTGTTTCTGCCCATCAACCCTGTCACGCGCTTTCCGCAAACTTCAACCCCCTCCACATGGCGAAGAGCAGCCCCTATATGAACCAACTTACAGTGTTGGCAAATTAGGTCAAGCGCCATCAGAGGCTCGAAATATAATGAAAAAAATTCATACCCCGCGGCGTCTGAATGATGGTGGCGGTGGTGGTCGTGGGTCTCGTGGTCACCCCGAAGCCGTACTGACTGTCCTGGTCGGTTCTCAGCGGGCGCTGCTGCTCCACTTCCGGCGTCTCCTGCACGTGCATCGAGCTCCTGTTCCACGGCAACCAGCTCCAGCGCGCGTTCGTGACCGCCTGCAACGCAATCGAGATGGACCGGAATTGTAGTTTCTCAAATTATACTTTTTTTTCGTATGAACTATAAAAATTTGTCGAAGACTGCGAAATTATTATTATTTCTCCTGAGCTTAAAATCACTCTTAAAATAGAACTGCTCTTATCAAACTCTCTTTTATTTCAGGTGTTAGTGAAAATTAAAAAGACAAGTCAGGGTAAAATTTTTTATGAAACAAAACTTGATTATTTTTTAAAATATTTTTGCAAAGAAGAACTAAGCAAAAAAAAAATGGTAAATAAAGTAAATTTCTCGCAATTAATTTTGGCTGGAGGCGAACGAGATAACACTTAAGACCTTGGATTCTTCCAAAAAAAACTTCCTCTCTTGACTATTTTTAATTTGGAAAACTCTATGATTCTCATTCCACAGGCAATCGCTTTTAATTAGCTCGCGCACGTTGCGCCATTTGCATATTTAGCGCCCGGTTGATTGTCAAGGAAGAGGGAAAATTAGTTTGCGCTTTTTTAATTGCGACGCGCCGCTAGATGATGCAAGCACGACAAGCAGGTTGCGTACCCTTGGGTGCAATGTGAGTCAACACATGCAAACGACGCGCACGTCAACTCCGTCGCTGCATAATTAACTTGGAATAGGAATGTAATTGAAAAAATTACTTGAATATAAATTGAGAGTTTGAATTTCGTTCGTATAAAACACTACACAAGATAAGTTCGATTCAAAAGACCTTACTTTAATGAAAATTTAAAAACTATAAACTACAATTTCCTCTTAATTCTGATACTTAATTTATAATTCAATAATTTAAAAAAAAAAAAATTTAAATAGAAGAGAAAATCCGAGGAATTGGTTATGTTAAAAAAAATGTAATGTAACTAAAATAATTATTTTTAAATAAATATTTTGCATTTAAAAATTCAGTTGAAAGTTTATTTTTCTTTTCAAAATTAACTAAAAGCTATATTTAAGTATTGCTAAAAGCAGATAAAGGGCAATTGATTCATTGAGAAATGCCAATTAAAAAAAAACTAAAAAAAAAGTGTTTCATGCAATTTACTTATAAAATATTTTTAACTTACATTTTCCTCTTGACTTTGTTGCTGTTGCTGTTGCACGACCTGATCCTCAGGGTTGGGAGTGTAAAGGTTGCCAATCCGAGGCGGCGTCCAGTACCTCTCCTCCGCAGCGTCCCACTGCCATGCCGGCCACGGCTGGAAGACCTCGGTGTGCGGAGCGATGGTCGAGTTGGACACCGCGGCTGCTCGAGGACAGTCGTCGCAGCTGCAGCCGCAGTAGGTGTACTGGTGCTGGCCAGAAACTGGCCGTCGGCCGTACAGGTAACGACACCGCATCTCCAGCTGCTCCCAATACATCTTTTTCTTTTCATGACTAAAAGAAAAACAATAAAAATAAACGTCATTAAAAAAACATCAATTATGATGTGGGATATTTTAAATAAAATTGATCTTGTTAGCTGGCAACTTATTAACTATTCAAAATAGTTTCAATTGAGCAGAACCAGCGCATTTTACAACGAGATGAATAACATATTTTTCAATCCTTGTTATTAGATAAAAACGTTTTTTTTTCTTTCAGTAAGTTTTCCCATCCTACATTAAGGTTTTTTTTATTATTAATTTTTGCTTTTTACTGTAAATAACAGGCAGATTTTGATTAAGAATTGACTAAAATGTATGTACAAAATTTATTTAAAAAAAACGCTCTTAAATGCAGACAAAGCTTTGCTAAAAATGAATGGTTAAACAAAGAGAAACGTGTAATTTTAGTAGAAAAAACAAAATATTTTAAATGCTCTTCGTCGTACATTCTATCATTTTATTTAAAAATTTTGTGGCATTTCAAAGAACTACAAATATCTGGCTAATGTTGAGACGAAGAAAATATTATTGTGAAAAACTATCTTTGAGTTCCAAAAAGGGAAAAGTTTGTGTCCATCAAGAAAATTTAAAAAAAAAATTGTTCCTTAAATACTATTTATTTGATAAAGAAATGGATTTGGTTATTTCAATCTCCATTAATTATATATGCAAATTCTTGATAACACTTTAATGTAGGGAATCAATTGCACGTAAGTAAGTAAACGCCGCAGCGAAAAGTTTTCTTTACTAACTAATCAAGTTCTTAACAGGTTGAAATACTTGTATATCTTGCAGGGGTTGCAGAACTTTCGGAGAAATCTGCAGCTTTCTGCAAAGTTCTTCTAGAACTAAGAAAGTAAAGCTCGGCAAAATTTGATCGCGAAGTAGAACACAGGCGAGTTAATACATCTGGCCACACTAAGCAAGCTTAATCTGCTCGCAACTTTCCTAATTCGAGCGTGCCTTTTCTTTGCTTCCTTGCGGAGAGAAAGAGAGAAAAAGGGAAAAGAAGGAAAAGGCTTGTCGGTGTATCTCTCGATCTAAACAAGCTCCAATATTGGCTCGGCTCGTCGTTTTTACTTACCCCCCTGCTTCGTTGAAAGATAAAATAAAAAAGACCGAAACGAGGAGACCATTCTCTGGCCGGGGTCTATCTAAATCAAATCAGTATCGGAAAATCCAGTGTGGAAGCCGAGATTTTTATCAAAAAGGCAATCTAAGCAGCTTTTCCCGCGAAGAAAGAGTTTCTTTTTCTCCCCAAGAAAGTTACTTTTTGCGCACAGTGAAATTACATCTGCTCGCGGTAGAAGAACTTTTGCCATCTGCGGTCTCATTACGTTTCACGCGACGTATAAGAATGAGAATCCCGGCTGAAATAATAAAAGACTAGTCGCGCCATATAAGACGAATGAAGAACCAAGGTTGCTGTGTCTGGGGAAAAGTTGCTTTGGTTTGCCTCGTTTTGGGAAAACGCGCGGCAATTTGGACCGATTTAATGGATAGTAAAAGAGCAAAATGGACATGCCGAGAGCGAGGATTTGCTGTTGGATTTAATTAGCTTTGCACGGAGAGCACTATAAACTGTTTATAGCACTAATTGTAATGGCCCGACAACAGTGTTTAACTGCTGAGTGAGCACATATTTAAATGCATGGGCAGCGAAAAGCGCAACCTCGATTTCTACACCGTTCTCTGAATATATATTTCCAAATGAACCCTTAAATGGGAAATTACTTTTACGCATCGCTGAGATTTAAATTCAAATTCGCACAAGGACATTTAGAAAACGTGCGCAGAAGATGTAAAATTTGTTGGCCATCTAAAGAAAGTAAAATTAGATCCTTTCATGAATGGCAGTTATTTTTTAGAGGCTTTTAATTTCACTTGAATTGTCAAAGAAGGATAATTATGAAATTAAATTTCAAATTTCCTAATTCATTTTCAAGAAAAAATATTGTTTACAACAAATTTCTGTAGAAAATTATCTTAATACTACATTTAGAAAGATTGGAGAATATTAGGAAATAAAAGTGAGACTTTCGAGAATTTCTCTTGGCAGCATAGAAATTGGGCATCTGCCAACAAAGGATCCAATTCTCCTTCTTGTTTTTAATGTTGATAAATGTTTTTTTTTTCTTTCGTTGCGTCGTAAATTTACTGTTATTGTCCATGTTGTTTACTGTCCAATTGTGTATATTATGATTTCTACACGAATTATGAAAACAAATATTTGAGTTGATCAAAAATCAACGACCACTATGTAGCAGTGATTTTGGTTTTTAGGTTTAAAAAACTGTTTTCCAAAAACTTCAGAAAATCAATAAATTTAATAAGGCGAATTTTATTGCTTATAAATTATTAAATTCCAAAAGATTGGAAGAATACAAACAATGAAGACAATATATTGAATTTATTTGATATTAAATTGAATGCAAACAATGTGATTTTTACAATTGGATGTATAAACAACAACAAAATAATTACTTCTATAAATTTGTATGCATTACAAGAATTGTACTTGTGGAATTTATAATCTCTAAATATGAAAACAAATTTGAAGCACCTTTTACAATTAAAAAAAAAATAATAATAATTTATTGTGGAAAGGAAAGAAAATAAAAACAGTGTGATACTGTTTTGATAGCTGAAATTAAATAACATCAAAATATTTAGAGCTAATCTGGCAATTAATCGGTTTTCAAAAAAAACTTTAATTTATTATTATATTTCACACATACCTCTAGGAAATTTTCATCTCCCCTTAAAATATCTCTCATTCTACATTTTTACCACAAGAAAAGGCTAAAATCTTGAGTATTTCTCCATTTGGAAGCAAAATGAGGGACGGTAAATTATTGGTGGCCCCTGCGGCTGGTTGCGGCTCCTCAACGCATTGAAAATGAAATTATACGGGTGTGCCATCGGCACGATAATCCCGACCGCGACGAGCAATCAGCCTAACGAGCGAGGGGCACGGAAGGGAATAAAATTAGACACGTACCTGAGCAACTGGTAGACGAGCATACATGAGAAAATGCAGACCAGAATGCCAATCACGGAAAGGCCGAAGAGGGCGCGCAGACACGAGTACAGAGCGCCGTGGACAACCTCGCAGTCTGGGGTGTTGTGGAACACGAACCTCATGCCTGCAAGCACAAATCGGAATAGGTTAGAAAATCCTAAATAGAAACAAAATAATAATTAAAATTGAGATAAAATTTGCCCTAAATTCGAAACCAATTAATGTTTCCTTGAACCTAAAAGTATTACAACTGATAGCGATTAATTAAAAAAAAAAAACATTAAGAAGTAGCAGGAAAAAATTGAAATTTAATTCATTTATCCTTCGTTTTAGAACACTTAATAATTCCATTCAAACCAAGTCTTTCAATCAACAGTCTGTATAAATATGATCAAAAAGTTAAATTAAATGTTACAATACTTTCAAAAAGTTCAAATTTGATTTTTTTTATGCGTTTTTTTCTATTATGCATTAAATGATAACGTAGCATTGCTAATAAAATACAAGAACAGAAGACGAAGATTGTCATTCAACAGCGTTTGAATCTCCATTATTGAACTTCATGGAAGAGATCAACATTAATATAAGATGTTGAATGTAAGTAAAATAAAAACATAAAAATTTTAATTTTAAAATTAATAAAAGAAATAGCACAAAATACAAATAAAAAGTTTAAATTAAAAAAAATTCATTCATTTTAAATTGAATTATAATAGGTAGATTGATTTTTAACCATATTTTAACAATTTAATAGCGCCATTTTCTTAAACATAAATCATAAAATGAGCTTCCTCTTGTATAGAGCAACCTTTCTTTGCAATTATTATAGGCCGTTGAGCACCAATTCTGCATGACCTAAATTTGGAGCCGCTCTGGTGCTAATTTCCAAACCCTTTGAACCCTTTTGCCAGGAGGCAATTTCCATGGAACGGAAAATGAGCACAAGATTCGGCCTGTCGGTTTAACCAACGAATCGGCCGGCGTTGAATTTTCCAGCTGAGGTCACGTATTTATTTATCTCGCGTTCGCAGGCCAGCCAGATTTTTCCAGTGACCAAGCTGTTTGTGGCAGCGTGAGTGGAAAATGTATTTGTGCCCGGCGGGCGATTTTATTCCTTTGATTTGCCAGCGGCAGCTTTTGTGTGTGCACCGGAGCCCTGAAAATTCGCCGCCCTCAAAGCCGCCCTGCCGTGACGATAAAAATGACATCTCTGCCGCCTTTTGTGCACCTCTTTTTCCTCGGCGTTTTTGGCATTAAAGCGGAATTTTCGAGCCGCACCGACGGAAAAATATAAAAAAAGAGGAAGTACGTCGGGTGAGTGCGGAGAAAAATCCGTTTGTGCTGCTGTCGCAACTGAATTGTCGGCGCGCTTTTGAGCGAAATCGCATTTGTACGCCACCGCTGTCACCAGATTTTAGTAAAAGGCCAAGTCGGAGCTGATCGGATTATACTGAGTCGACGAAAAAGTACATTTGCGACGAGTGGATTTCTCTACTTAATTCAATTGCAGCGATTCAATTAAATCATTATTCTATGAGCGCGCATTGGTCGTGGTTTATATTCCTCTATAAATTGTACCTCAAATAAAAATCCTTTAATTGAAATTATTCATTGACTCAGTGAGTATTCTGCATATTAATGAACATAAAAAGTCCTTCACTTTGAATAACAAAAATGGTAATTTATTTTGCATGTATTCAATGAAGGGATAATAAAAAGTATAGAATGGAATTTTAAAATAAAATATTTAAAACTAATAGACTGGTAGAAAGATGTCTTGGATTTGGTTTTTGTAATTTGCTGCAAAATTTGAAGTAACCGTGGTAATTTATTTCAATAGAAGGAAAGATATATGAAGCTCATCTGTGTTAAAAAATTAAAGTAAAAAGTAAAGATTAAAAATTACACCATTTTTTACAAAACATTAAAATAAATTTAAATAATTATTTCCTATATTTATATTCATTTAATACAATTTTTATTGTTAATTCTATATTTTGTTAATTTTTAATACTTAAATAAAAAGTTTACTCATATAAATACATCCATTTTAAGTATCACATTATATAAATAATTAATTTTTATAAAATCTAAAATTGTTTTAATTCTTGGTTGTGATTTGGTTATACACAGAAGTGCTTCTAAATGATATAAAACTATTTGTTGTTCTGGGTTCGGAGTTCCCTCTACTGATTGTATTATTCATTAGTTACATTTTCCTTATTAGTTTTAATATTGGAAAGGATGTGTATAAAAAAAAGTGAATTATAAAACATCGGCCAGTGATAAACAACTGGTTTGGTGAATTCATTGGATTTTGTAACGAACGCAGTCCATATAAAAAAGGTTCATTTAAAAAAATCCATCTTCGCTAATCCATGTCTCAAGTTAATATTTTAAAAAACCTATGATATTTTTTCTTTTAAATGGTGAAATATTGTCACATACACATTGCGGTATATATATTTTCATTCTGAATATTGACAGTTTTGAAGCAGTGCCAAATGCAGAGGAACGACGCAAACGAATGAGATATAAATCACGGTTGACATTTTAATGGCCAGTACTGCAACTTCTTCAAACTTCATAAATCCTACAAGCTTCAGCAAGCTAATGATAATAAATTCCTAACAATTTAATTCAGTAGAAATTTATAAAACTATATTTGCACAAGAAATATGACGAAAAACTAATATCGGCGCTTCAGTTGACTTTGTTTGATCGACGGACTTTGCAAGATAAGATGGGCTGGAGTTTTTCCATTACAACTCTGACTGAGAAGTAGTGCAATTTCCTTTTGTTTGCACTTGTGTAGCCTTGGTATGCTCCGGACGCAGCTGCTTTGCACACGGAGCTGAACTGGGCGATTCCGCACTATTAATTCGCGCTTTTATTGCATTGCCTTCCTCTTTTCTCATCCCACTTTATTGCGTCCATTATTTATTTACGCCAAGGTGAAATGCATCCCTCATTATAATTTTATCTCTCTCGCAAACAGGTAAAAAGCAATTTTCTCGCTAGGGAATATCACCAATTTTTAGTGAGGTCTAATTTTTAATATTTCAATCTCTTAAATTATAATTCATGTCTTTTTTCTGAAGATAGTAAGCCAAGGAAGCCTAATTCTTGTTTTATTAATTGGATTGAATTAAAATTTAATGCTGTGATAAAAAATTTACAGTTACTTGCATACAAAATTATCAGTTGAAATTTAATTATTCTAAAATATATTCCATAAGCAACATTTTAACTTATTTCAACAAACTTGTTCATTTATTGTCTTTAATTTTTTTATTTTACTTAAAAAAAAATTTGTACTTATTCCTAGTAACTTAAGCATAAACTTTACAGGTATTAAATCAATTTATTAAATAAATATATCATAAAATTGATTTTTTTTTTTATCCCTTTTCCATTCAGCAAATTTGGCTTTTGAAAATTGGTGGCGTTCCCTTTGTCGGAACGACCGAATCGTGATTACGAGAAAACTTGATAAAAGTTCCATTATCCGCAAAACGATCCTCTGCGTAAGACAGTTAACGCGGTCGGAATTATTTAAATAAGCCCTTGTTCAGCACTAAAAGCAGGCGTTAGTGGCGAAAAATAAACCAACACTTGCGGAAATCGAGTGCGAGAATTCCGCCATTGTGTGTTGGTTGGAGGTGAAATGCTGAACAACGTCGGCCGTTAAAAGAAACAATGGACCGTCCATTCAAAGACCACGATGGGACGATTTCGGTGGACGTGTTCGTCCACCCTGCAACAAGACACGTTTTAATTAAAACTACAAGCCCCGCCCTTTTGCAGCTCGGCGATTTTCCCATTTTATAAAAGCAACATTCGCTTTTTCCAACAACTGCACATCCAATTTAGTTAAATAGAATTCCATTACGAGATTGTGTCCCATGGATTTATACATTTTTTGTTATCTCATCGCACCGACGAGTGCTGCTGATGGCATCGCAGAGCCGATTTCGCATGCACAAGTAGTTTTCTCTGCAGAAATTCGCATTTGGCTTTTGGGCGCAGCTGCCGTTTTTCCATCGCGTGCACCCGCAGCGACCAGCCGCAGTTTCAATAAAAATGTAGCAGAGAGACTCGCTGTGGCAGCGGCTGTTGCGCGGGTTGCATATTGCGAGAAAAGCGGCAGTCAATGATGCCGAGGACAACGTCGATGCCTTTTACACGTTTTCAAAAGGAGCTTTGGCAAGCTCAAATCTTTTATCCTTATTACATGCAGCCATGTGGATTGTTTTTAATACAATATTTATGTTTTGCAACTTTTCTATATTTATTTAAGATTTTAGAAACGCAAAATACGTTTACAGAAATGTTTTACTTTATAAATTTTAATATCAATTACAAGTATTATTTCTCATAATTAAATTCTGAAATTTTAGATGATCCAGATAATGATGTTATCCACAAATGTGTGGTTATTAATATTGTTTGTTACTTTAATTTATTTAAAAAAAAAAATTTAATCACATTTTTTACAGTCTGTAAAAACAATTAATTAACAAACGCTTATATTTACTATAAAACTTATAAATAATGTTGTTATAATTATTTTAATCATTTAAATAACCTTATTGAAATTGAATAAAGCATTTTTAATTATAAATTTAAAATTAAATAAGTTTATTAGTTAACTAATTAAAACAAAACCTGTTCATCAAAGTTGACGATCATTTTATGGTGCAAGTGCAGCGGCACTTAGAAAATTTTATACAAAGTTAGCCTGCAAGTTATAGTGCTTCTCTGTTGCGTATATTCAGAATTATATTTTGCGCTCGTAAAATATTTATGACTTTCACAAAATGCGAATTTATTTAGCGGCAGTTAATTTGCCTCTCCAGATATGCGTGGTTCATTCAGCTGTCGGATTAAACGCCAGTAGGTATTCCACTATTCTCTGCGCGCGAATTTGAAACTCATGCATAAATTTGCGGCTTTTTACTGCGGCGTATAAAATTCAAAAAGCCACTTTGCCTATTTAGCGCGGTGGAGAGCGAGGTGTTGATAAATCCGGGCAGCGATGCCAAAATTTTATTGCCGGCCAAAGTGACGCGGCGATCGCACCCTCGTCCATGGGAACATGCAAATCCGAATCGTGATGAATATTTAACCGGATATACTGACACAAAACACGGCACTCAAAATAGGGTTACCACATTTATGCAAAAAAAATTCAATTTCAGTAAAATAATAGAAACTAGAATATCAAATAATTGTACTGAAAAGTCTACCTACGCTCACACAAGCACTCTGTTTTGAGATTTTTAACCATTTTTCACCTAATTTCCTAATTTTGAATTATAAATTCTCACCAATTAAATAAGATTTTAAGAAAGGTGGCCTATTGAGGGAAAATTCTACCTGATTTTACAAAAAAAAGTTAAGATGAAATTTTTATTAGATGTACAAACTGATAAAGTCACCAAAAATTTTTTTCCTAAGCTTAACCTTTTTTGAAGTCTTTCTTTAACAAGCACAACTTTCAAGATGAGTAATTTTTAGCAAATTGAGTTACAAATTCCATTTTCGTAAAAATTAGTCCTGTTACTGCGTTAATTACACTGAGAACTGGAGTTTTGGGGATTAAGTGGCTCCAATCCTGTAAGAATTTGCCATTTTTAAAGCCCCTGGTCTTTTATAAATGAATATAACATAGAAATTAAAATTCTATTCAATGGCCTCAAGTTATTTATTCCGACAAAATACATATATCTGATATCTTCAGTTTTCTGGCATTGAATTTCCAGGCGAAGTATGGCACCCCGTTGAAAATGATACACACGTGCGTACATACGCGGCCGGACTGGCGAATTTGAATTTTTAATGCGGGCGTCGAGTGCATTCATTTTCAGCCATGCCGTGCAAAATGCAGAGTGCAGACGGCAAGGTCGAAATTATCGATTGAAGGGGCAAAAGTGGCACACAAGAGAGCGTCCCACTCTCGGATCCGTCGCAGCTCCAACTTATGAAATTGATGAGTTCGTTTGTTTGTTTTCGCCCCGGAACGGCGGCGGGGTTCATTTATTTAGGCTGCTCCGAAATTACGCAGTATGCTTGGCAGGCAAACAGAAAGGACCAACTTGCTGACTAATTTCACCAGCCGGTCGGCGGTTTTGTTCAATTCCCTTTTCGGATCTTCTCGTACGTCTGATGGGGATGAGAGAGGCGAATGCAAATTCCAATTCTGCACCCCTGTCTCTGTGGGCACCGGGGTAATTATTCCGGAAGTTTGAAAAATCGAAATCGTTCGGAACGTGTGTTTGTGTTCGGCAGAATTACAAGGGCGCTTTTCTCATAGATGTGCACAGCGCGTGCTGCTCTTAACGCTCAAATTCACTCCTGCTTTGTGAGACCAGGAAATTAAATTCCGCCTGTTACAATATCTGTCAACGTGTTTGATGGCGCCGCTTTTGACGTCAGGCTGAGCATTTCGATCATATTAATTTCGCGCCACCGAAGCGAATAAAATCGCGTGTTTGTTTAACTTTTGCACCTCCATTATTCAATAAATATATGAATTATTTGGCAAAACTCGCCAAGGTTGTGACCGGAAATTGAAAATGGAATCGAAATTCTCGTTTTGTTGTACTTTCATTGATTTGTATCGAAATTGCTCCATAAATCGGCTTCCACTCGACTGTAAGCTGCTTCACATATCCATAAAGCTAGATGGAGATGTAAATTTATAATAAATAATGCATAATTTAACTGTAAAATGTAATATTTTGGAAGATTTGTGCGCCTTTTGAGCTTCTTTTTCTGCCAAACGGATTGATTTTTTTATAAGAAACTTGAACTACACAACTTGAATCATTAATTTTATTTTATTTCAAAAATATTAATTAAAATTATTTCACCATTTTTGAAGTCTTCTTCTGGTTCATGCTTAGAATAGACCAATTAAATTAATTTATATTTTGGGTAAAAGAGCATCATAATTTTTTAACATAATTTATATAGCCTGCCTAAATTACTATAAACTTTTACGTAGTCTCAACATTAGTAGATCTGATTTTTTTGTTGCAAATTAATGTTAATTGGGCTGCCCAAAACTTGTCCTGACATGAATGAAAACAAAAGGGAAAAAAATTACTTTTAGTACTCAAATGTTTTTAAAAGATATTGAACCCAATACTATTTAAAATATATTTCTACTTGTCTTTGATGAGCTCAAAATTCGATTTCCATTTAAGGGCAAGTGACTTTTGTTTGCCTCGTTTTATACTTAAATATCCAACTTTATATTTCGATCAAAAATTTATATTAATAGAAATAATAAATAAATACTTATTGTATTAAATCTGTGGCATAATCGTAGACTAACTTTCAATGATGATAATGCAATTTACTACTTTATACAACAGATATGATTCCCAGCATAACAATCAATATTATTTATAATATTATTTTCAATAATATTATCAAGTGTTATTTGCAAGTTTTTACAGTCTTATAACCACAAAAACTATTGATAAAAAATGCTTCAAAATATTTATTATTTAAAATATTATGTAAAAAAATTAAAATGATAAAATATTTAAACATCTATTATTTTAATATAGTTATATTATTTATACTAAGTGAAGATACTGATAACATAAAAAATAAGTTTGCTCATAAAAATATTAAACATAGGAGGGAGAAATGTTACCGTTACCACGTTTGCAAGAGAAAACATAAAATTTACAACTCCCAATTTCAGATTTAAGGAACTTTTGCAAGTGCGATATCCACGGCAATGGCCGTTATTAATCACGGCCAAAACCCTAAATCCAACGAAACTTCTGGGATGGTGCGGGTCGACGGCCGTAAACTTTGAAACAGACCCGAGATCATATTGATTGAGTTTGATCGCGCACCTTTTACGACCTTCCATAAACGGCGGAAATCACGAGAAGCAGCAGCGGCGTTTTATGGGGTGCAAAAGGTGAAGTGGTATGATTGATGGGTACTCACTTTCTTCGGAGGTGACGGATGGGTCCTGCGTGAGGCCCGAGTAGCAGGTGCACGCCTGGTTCTTCTGCGTGTAGACGCACTCCCTGAGTGTTTGCAGCCGGTTCATGTGGATCACGGTGGTGGTCACCGTGACGATCACACAAAGGACGGCGCTCAGCAGGCAGCAGATGCCGCACACTTTGATCTGCGAACCAAACAAAAGCACGTCGTCAGCACAAAGAGGGCGAAATGCTTTGGCCCCGAGGCCCAGATTGCGGATTCCCCTTGACCGCGTTCGGTACGTTTTATCTCGTCATTGTTAGGAGGAAATCTGGCACCAGATGGAGGGTGGCTTTTGATGGGTGGAAATTGGCGGGTTTTGCCAAGGGCAAGAAAACTTTTTATTAAATTAAAAACGGGAAAAATTGTTCTAGTAATGCAAATAATTTGACTTGTTTACAACAATTGTTTGTTTTCAATATTTTTCCTGTCGCTCAAGAATCATAAAATAAACTTAAATATTATAATTTTAAGCGGATTATAATAGACCGAATTGCCTCCTAGAGATCTTTTTTTCAAAAACCGCCTGTAAGAATGAAATAAATTTGACAATAAGCGGGAATTTTGGGATGTTTCATCATGCAAAAATATAACATTCCGCTAAAATATAGAATAATTCTGAAGTTTTCTGTTATTTTCTAAAAATGTAAGTTAAAATATTTAAACTTGAATCAACATTAATAATTTTTGAAAATTGACCTAATCAACTGTAAAATTTCAATGATACAGGAAAAAAATAAAATAAATGATAATAAGAGTTATTTCTAATTGAATTTGTATCGAACTTAATAAGCTGACGATGATTTATTTTTTAATTTCATGATATTTGAATTACACATAATAAAAATTTAAAACAAAATGCACCTGTTTTACTATTTTATATTTAGTTAGTTCGTTCAATATTTTTACCATGATTCCAATTTCTAAACTCAATTTTGACCTGTTATTTTTTATACCTTTTCTTTTCTTGATTCAGCAATGACATTATTACTAAACATGTACATTTTATTTCGAAGGAGAGATTTATCCGATTCATCATTTTATCATTCTCAAAACTTTTACGGCTTAACAGCCTCAATTAGCGTCCATTATCCAGCACAACTGTAATTTAATAGTATTCAAAAAGTAGGGAAATAAATGTATTCACAATCGAGAGAGGTTGTGAGCGTTGTGAGTATGGGAAACGTTACCGATAATTGAGGGGGCCAACGCACGTTTGACCTCGCGGTTTACGACATGTCACGTTTTTTCCCCGGATTCCGTTGCCGCGTTTGACTTTCCCAGCGCAGAGAGAGAAGTTTTGACTTGAGAAGCGAGTAATTTGATCAATCGGAGCCGCCTTTTTGCATTGAGATCGATTGAAGCGTGCGGAAAGAGCTCCCGGCATTTCCGCCCCAGAGGCTTTGCATAATTTCTCCAATGGAAAATGCGGCTTTACCAAGATTGGATTATATGAAATATGAATATCAAATTCTGTTGCAAGAAAAATTATTATTTTAGGAGTAAATTAAATTGATTAAATTGCTTTAAAAACCATCATGAGACCCGAAAAATTAATCTATAAATTTCTGTTAATTTTAGACGTCCTATCCTCACTCATCAAGAATTATTTTTTTTAAATAATAATTTTATATAAAAAAAATTTACTAATTAATAAATATTTTTTTGTATGCGATTGAGTTTTCAAATATTATTTTACTGAATCAATTAAAAGTAATCAAATTCTTAATTATATATTTTTTTAATGAACTGCTAATTTTTGTTTTAACTTAAACTGACAATGCATACCAACATATAGGATACTAAAATAACATGTTAACTTATTTGGTTATAATTTAAAATAAAATTCAAGTCCAATAAAATTGATGGGAATAAAATTTGCTTTGATAAAAAGTCTGAATTCATTATTCTCGTTTGCTTTTTATTTACGCTGCCAATATTTAAAATTCAGTGTTGATTTTTGGGATTCATTTCCCTCTAAATGTGCTTTTAATATTTTACCATCGAATGGCCAGATTGAAATAATGCTATTTACTCTCTGACAATAAAAAGTAGCGAAATGAAATTTTGGGCTTTTTATCTGTCATTGGCGTCCACTGTGTATTTTTGCTGAAGCCATTGAAAAAAAAATGCCAATAATTAAAACAACAACTCAAAGCGTTCGGTTGGAGGAAAACAAATATAATTCCGTCGAATATAAACACAGAGGGTAAACAAAGCAAATAATGGAAAATCGATCGGTCGGCGGCGGCGGTCTGATTGAAAAGTGCTGTTTTTGCAGAATAAATAACAAAGAAAAAACCACGAGCACATTGTTTGCGAAACAGAAAGACGCGGGAAAATGTGGCGCCACTGGAGATCGATTTGATCCCATAAGCCCCTTATTTTCAAATTAGGTCGGCTCATATTTCACCCGATTACGTCGAGAGAGCAAGACACCTCATATCAAAATGTGCGTAATGGCCTCTCAGCGCAAAATAAATATTGTGCGCGGCCGGCTGGCTTTCAGCCTGTTGGTTTTCGCCCTGTTCTCTCGGCCCAACTCTCTCTTTCTCATTAATCATTAAGGACGCACGCAGCTCTAAATGATGTATGGCGGGCGAAAAAACAATGCGGCAAATAAATCATTCTGCTTTGAGTTCGAAATTAACGAGCAGCAATTTTGGTTGACACCGCCGTGAAAATAATTCCGCCACCCGAATTCCTACTTTTTTTTCAATACCGGCGTTTTCGCGCCCCGAAAAATGTAATGGGGAAAAGCCTGTCCGACATTCCGACGCTTATGTCTACAAATCTGCGGAAATGTTGCTTTCGTGTCACGATTTTTCATTTCTGCGCTCTCGCTCTCTATATTGCCTGCTCAACACGTGAGGCACAAAAAATTTATGCTTTTTATATGTACGAACGGTGGCCCGAAAATGGAGGTAGGAGGATTACGTGCTTTATGATGTTCTCTGTTTACCCAAAGCTAAATAAAAGCAGTGCAAAAGCCGACTTGAAAGGGAAGGCTTTAGTATCAAAAACGTCTGAAATAATGAAAAACAGTCATTTCTCGTCAGCTTTTTTTATGTTAAAAATGGGAAATATTTTTTCAAAAGTTTTGCAAAATGAAAGGCAAAGATTTTAATAGTTGAATTCTAAAAATAAAAATTTTGGGTCTTGTATTCAGATATAAAATACTTTCCTTTCCTAACATTAAGAGTTGAAAATTCAATTATTCAATTTTTTCACTTTTGAATCATGAGGTGAATTTTGATTTTAATGTCTATAATTAGAAACGCATTCTTATCTTGTTAGAATTTAGTGCTTTAGATAGTATTTCATTTAGGAGGAAACTTCAATGAATCGGATCCCTCTGTCATCCCGTATGAGTGCGAGTTTATAATTCGGGTTTCTATTCAGCCATGGAATTTTGTGTTCTCAGAATTCAAGATTAAAATTCATTGCTTGAGACGCCGTTTTACACCTAACTTCGCAAACCTCCAAGTTCAACATTCTAAATTTGTTTGAATTCCGACTGTGAAGTTTCGAGTTAAAACCAAGTTGTGGCTTCAGCAAATTTAAATTTTAACATGGCTCTGAACACAAGGAGAAACTTTTCAGCCAATTAATGGCTTACATTTGCATCTGAAGAGCTCGCTTTTCGCTTTGCGAGAAATCATTAAAGAACTTTTGCTCCTTTCTTGGCTCGAATAGTTAAAAATTCAATTTGTTAAAGAATGTTATATTTCATTTTTTGGTTACCAAGAAAAAGGAAAAATGTTCCAATTTTCGGTCTCAAAAGGGTGAACAACGACAATAATAGGCTTGACAAAAGAAGGCTCCGAAGTGCAGAAAAAAATTAATGAATTATTCTAGCATGCAAAACTGGCTGGCGCAAAAAAGCTGCCAAAGCCATTTTTCCGGGAGCCTCATTAAATATAAAAAGCACGCGCCGGCTGCTCGGCAGGAGGAAAAAGGCGGCCTAAAAGAGATCCGGCGCTCTTTTCACAACTCATCCGTTTTTGCACCCCTTCCTCCTGTACAATCGGAATATCGGCCGCTCTTTTTCAAAGCCAACATTTTAATTGTGCTGAAAACTCGGTCTCTCGACGCTGGGGAATTCCAGAATCGTGTAGAGAATGGTGGCTGTTTTTTTTTTTCAAAGGGACGAGCAAGGATTAAAAGCATTTTCCAAACTTACCAAGTAGCTGTAGCGATTTTTCCTGCGAGCGAAGCCCATCACGGCCAGCCCCGTCAGCGTCAGCTGCAATCAAACACATAAAATTTTTATCACTACACGCCGCTTTTATTGTGCGGGCAGGCGACCCTGCACTTTAATCTAACGATGCATTAGGACTACAACTTCGCCCTGAAAAGGGAAAATCGATTGTACACTTTTTACTTTCTGTCTTCGTTTGGTTTTTTTTTCTAAAAAGCAGGACCACTTTTCTCGCCCTTTTTTTTCTAACTTCGCATGAACTTTCGCAGAGCTTATTCTCGAAAGAGGGATTTAAGAGGAGGAGGACGCTTCACAGGCGTCAAAGTTGATGGCCGCGTTTTCTGCCTGCCAAGGGTGGACCCTTTGAATAATTGAGGCCACCCGTTTTTTCCCGCTGCGGCAGTGTGAATAAAAAAGTTGAAAGTGGTCCTGCGAGCGCTTTAATACGTCCCGGCTAAACCAAATTGCTGCAAGGAAAGTTGCGAAGAGAAATACGAAATGCATTTTTTATGGGGAATTATGTTGCTTGGAAGGAAAGCACCATATTTTCTAAATTAGTCCGAGCGGCTGACTGATGTTAGCAAAGAGGCTGAGGGAGAACAAAAGCGGAAAAGAGGGATCCGTCTTTTGCAACCCGCACAACGCTGATGCACAGCAGGTTGCATAGTTTGTATTTAATAAATTATCATTTTTTTTATTCACTACTTTTCTTTTTCATTCCACATTTTTGTAAGGAAATGAAATCATTTTTAAAATAGATTGTTAATAAGAGATTACATTAAAATTTGAGGCCAATTTGAGAAAATCAATTTAATTTTTTGCTTATTTTTTTCAATGCTTCTTTTTAATTTAAAATATTTTACAGGTTTAATAATCGTCAATACAAATTTCATTAGAAAACCTGCAAGCAGACAAAAATCACATAACTTTTTTAAACTGAATTGCATTGTCTTAATTATTGTCAGCGCCTTTAAAATTGTTATAAAGAATTTTATATAATTAACCATAGTTTTACATGAATTCCATGAGAATTTAAAGATAATGATTGACTGATTGTGAGATTTTTTTCCTCAAAAACGTCTCTACCTGGACCTTTTACAAAAAAATTTAGTCTGAACAATTTCGCCCTTATTGCTGGATGAATGCACATAAATAAAATAAAAATTTAATCAATGAAAATTTGTGCATTTTCTTGGAAGGTGGATCATTATTTGCAGTGATTTTATTCAGGTTCTTTTCCACTCGCCAGAATTGCAAGAAAAGAAGGGAATATATCTCGCAAGGGGTTAAATGTCAAAGTCTCTTCTGCTGCTACTTAATCTTGATCTCGATTCGTTCCCCGCCAAGGAAAAGACAGGGAAATAAAACACAAAAGAAAGCTACGCAACACGGCCTTAAATATTCAGTGCCGATCAGGCATGAAACAAACTCAACCATTCCAGACACATAAATTGAAAACGGCAGGCGACCCGTCGAAATTTCCCTTTGGGTGCGGTGGTAAAATTTTTAGCGCGCCTCCGAGTGCCGTAAAGATAGGCGGAAGGGCGGCATTAAATTCGCAGGCAGACGGCAGCCGTACAAGCGGCGTAAAGCCCAGTGACAGCAGCAGCCCCTTCTCTCTAGCCTGCAATTTTTCTTTTTTGCGCTTCCACACAATGATCACTCTAATTAAAAGTTGGTAACAAGCCCCCGTGCGAGCTCTTATTGTTCTCCCGGCGGAACGTGCAACTCGGTTTTCTGATAAATATCTTGATGGTTTCATTAAAAGTCGGAGGGCAAAGTTGAAGAAAGGGCGCAAAGTGTGGGTATAAGTTTCGGGAAATGGATATGACGGGGCTCGGGCTTTTAAAAAGTTCAGGCGGCGGATGAAATTGCTTTCGCCTTAAAACGCTCGTGTAAATGGGACAACTCGACCGGGCTGGCGTTGAAATTTCTACGGTCTGTTGCCATAGGTTGATAAAAAAAAGTTTGCAGCGTTATGGATTATTATATAGTTTGAAAAACATCTTCATTCTAAAACTCAGCATTTCAAAAAGATTGAAACAAAAAATCTTATCATGAGTGTTTTTATTTTTTGTGCTCCCTGATTTTCTTAATTTTTACCAACCACAAAAGCCGAAAATATTTGTTAAAGGGCCCCTCTAGTAAATTAAAAAAAAAACTTAAATTATCATAACTATTGTGAAAATTGCAATTTGAAAATTCGCACTCATTGTCGAGTCAAAAGTGTAGAAATTTGTTCACTTTTGCCCGCAAAAAGAGTATCAAACTTGAGGAAATGTAAATTTAAATGTCTTAAAGAATTTATTTTCTTTTTGGTTGAATATAGTGATCTAGCAATCAAAATCGAGTGCTTTTTGAGAGTTTGATTAGCCAAAAGTTACTAATTTAATAAACGGTTTTGTTGAGAAACGGTGATCCTTCAACCTGTTTCATTTTCACAGAATAGAACGAATTCAATTTTTGATCGAGATATTGATAGATATCATGAAACATTGTGTTGTTTTTAAATCAAGGATGCAAATCATCATTGGGAAAATATAAATAATAATTTTAAGTTATTTATGAGATATATGAATTTAATTTATTGATAATTTGATTTCTAATTTCCAAGAGATACGAGATGAGCCGCACGGAGATAGACTAAAGTTACTTTTTTAATACATTTGAATAATATTACAGGAACTTGCACCAATTTGTATAATAAATTTTAATATTATTTTTGTTAATATTAAATTAAATGTTGCCTTAAATTTTACATGAAAATTATAATTTTATAAATTCAACTAATTAATGCTAAAAATATAAAAATATTATATCATGTTAATAAATAAAAAAAAGTGATATAATTTAAAATATAAATTTTAAAATAACTTAAAAAATTTATATTATTTTTTGTAAAAGCTTAATAAATATCTGTTCTCACCATGGTAGCTGGGACGTAGGTGGGAACAGTTTCAAAGTAGTGCAGTGACGACGTGTGTGCCCTGAGAACAAAGTGGACGAGCAGGAAGAGCGCGCCGAGGAGGGCGGCCATCCCTCCACAGGCGGTGCACAGGATGACGTACTTCCTGAGGGCCGAACTCCAGCACTGGTGTGTCCGCGTCGTCGGCTGGTATGTGGCCGTCGTCGCCGCCGCTGCATTGGGCGCCGGCAGGGCCGGCGCCTGCACCACCTGCGCCACGGTCGCGCCACCTGCGAACAAGAAAAACCATCCCTTGAGAGTCGTTTCTCGGTTATCGGGCCGGGGAATTAGGCCCCGCAGCGCCTGTCTGTCTGCCGATCAATTTTATTGGGCCGCTTAACAAGCGACGGTGTAATTTATCATTTCGTCCCCAGGCGCACTTTATTGACAAATCGCACCCATGAAATTTTCACGACATACATACATAGGAAGGTGTATATCGTGCCTCAAGGGTTATTCTGTGTTAAATGGGTGTTTCCGGATAAAAGGTATGATGTCAAGTTGCGCGTGTTGCGCCCCCAAGGATGATGTATTAGAGTTTCGTAAGAACAGCAAACAAAAGATAAAATTTAGCTTGAAAATATTGGCAAACTCACGCACAGGGAGGTGAACTTCGACTTGTTACGCTAGGATAAAAGAAGGAAATTATTTTAAAAGAATCACAAATTGTTGCCTTTAATGATTGTCTTTGACAAAATGTCACATATAATTTTTAAAATATCACATCACACCTTTAAAACCAAATAAATCATTGCCATTTTAACTTTTCTCAATACTAAACTGTTTTTTTTTTTTAATCAGATTTCATTTGAAAAAAATTCCAGTTATATTATTAAACTTTTTTGATAAACTGTGGTTAAAGTGTGCGCATTTAATCTTATAAAAGTGAGCTCATTAAATTTTGTGTTGCAATAAAAATGAAAAAGTTTAGAATAATTATTCCTGTTATATCAATTAATTGTAATTTGACTAACTTGGTTTAATTTTACTTCATACTTAATTTTTTTGTTTATGGTTTATCTTCAATTTGTGTCCTATAAAAATCGATTCGTAAAATTTTTCTTTTCTCTTTGTTATATTTTTTGTAGCATTTTAAACAGCATCCGTATCAATCATTAATTGATAATATAATACATAATTATAATCATCGCATGGTATAGATGGATGAGAACCGAGAAGATGGAAGATATCTACGATAATATTGTTGAAGAATAATCGTTGTGTGACTTGGTTTTATAAATTATGAAACACGAAACCAAAATTTTTATTTTACAAATTTTATACAAAAAAAAACTTTCTTATTCATAAAAAGAGTACATAATTTATTTATTAAAATAAAAAAATAATTAGAAAAAATAAAATTTTATTATAATATAAAATTTAGGAAATGTATTATGATAAATATTCAATAAAATAAAAAAGCTATTAAACTTTTTTAACGTACAACATGTTATTTACCTTAGCACGCATCTGTACTTAACGCTACAGTAAAATAAAAAAAAAATATTATAAAATATAAAATGCTCTTGTACTGACTGCTGAAAGCAAATGCAAAATTTCCTGCAGCACAATAATTGTCACATTTGACCTCTTGATTGTATCGCACCAGTTTATTTATAAGCCCGGCTAAATTAACCATCGCTTCATTTCCCTCGCGTGAAAATAGCGGCATATTAAACCGAAATTTATGAGCCTCGCATCCGAGGGTGCGCATGCACAAATGTGCGGAATTTCGCGAGTAAAAAGTTGGTGTTTATCTTTCATTGAGATGCTTATCCGCGCAAATAGTGTGGCGGCCAAACTTTCGTTTCGCAGGGGGGGATCCGAGACTAAAATATATATCCGAGGGGGATTTAGCGAAGGCAAAATTATTACTAAGCGAGGATTAGAGCGTCAAGCGGCGCCTGCTAAAAATGAACAAACCCGGCAGTGTTTTGGACGCGCATTTAGAAGCATTAAAATTTAACCTCTTCATTCCCAATGCACAAAGCACCGGGCAGAAAGTGAGTGAGTTTAATTCGCCCCGAAAGTGCTCGGCAGCAAACTTGCTCAGCGAGATGTAAAACTTTGATTGTGTTGTGAAAGCTACTTAAACATAATTGAATGTAATATCGGGAGAGAGGCGACAACTAGATGACTTGGTGCTTAAGGACTTTGAACTTATTAAAGGAGCACTTCAGGAATGATATTTTATTCTTGGGTTCAAAAGCAGACAAAATTATATAACTGAAATCAAATTATAGCTATAAAAAATTTGGGTTGCATCAAAGTTTAAACTTTTCCCTCCCAACTCATTTAAATTTGGAGGGCAATATCAGTCTCTATTTCTAAAAGTATTTAACATTCACATTTGGTTGAATATTTAATAGTGATTTAGAATTTTAATAAAACACAAGATTCAAATGCTTTTGACAGGAAATTGTGAAACTTTGAAAACTCCTGATTGTGAATTTTTTAATTATTCTTGACATTGGTCATGACATTTTGTGTTCCTTCCAATGCAAGAATAAAAATATGTAACTGAAGAAGGTCTTTAAATTGCAAGAAGTCCATAAATTCCTCTCTACGTAAAATATACTGCGAAAGTTTATTTTTGACTGTCGACGGACGTATCGCAATATTGGCAGAATTCGCAACTTTACCGGCTGCGAATTTCCGAAAGGCATACATTTATTTACAAATATGACAGCCAAGTTTATACCTTTCGGGACTTGCGTGTTATGGAAAGTTTGGCAAAAGTTTTAATTCTTTTCCTGCGCCGAGGGGCGTCCTTTTTGAGATTGCCAAACTTTGACTGCGAATTGGATATTCATCCTTGCTTTCGGGGGCGATTGTCTCGGGGGCGTACTAAAAGTTGACGATTTTTTGTGTGCAGGCACGTATATAGAAATTGAAATTTTTATCGCTAGGTGATTTGCAACGTGCAAAAGCAGGGAAAAGTTGGAGCACAGCCAGCCAGCGAGAGGCTCTCCTGGATCATAAAAGTGGCAGCAGGCGGCGGATTATCACAAGTATTTCCAGTCTCATCTCTTATTGCAAATCGATTTCGGTGGATGCAGCGTTTTTGAAGGGCGTCCGCTGCCCAGGGCGGATATTAATGCAATCTATCTCGGCCTGAACTGTGTAGATAGATAGCGCACTATGAAATTATGCCCGAACGTGCAGCGGATGGAAGAAGGAAAAAGAAAGTTGAGTTGTTATCAACCCGCCGAGAGCTTTTCTTCCGAGAACCAATCCATGAAATTCAGCAAACTTTTCTCTTTATCTTTTCTTTTTAGAAGGAAATTTAAGGAAGGAAGCAAGGAAGTAATCTCATAATAATGAGCTTGGCGCTTTCTATGTTAAAAATTGCTTCACATAGATTGTGAACCAATGAAAATCTTAAATTTGAATTTGAAAATTTTTCTTATTGAATTTTTCATCTTCTGACGCGTAATTAAATCGGTTTTAATTTTTAAAACCAAATTTAAATGCATTATATAAAAATGCAACTCAGGGCAATCTTCAAGAAAAAAAAGACTAATCTGAACGAATCTATTGTTGGCTAGAGGCATTGAAATTATTTAGGCTACAAATTAACTTTGCCAAAAGATAAACAATAAAAATATTTTACTGTCAAAAAATTAGAAAAAGAGAGCAGACGCACGAAATTTCGCAATAAATAAAACTCTCCGTTTCGATTATAAAAATACAAATTTTGATTCCATTCAGCTATCCAACAATAGCTGTGGCTGACGGATTTTTTTAAATATTTTTTTCTGTTAATTTTGCATTCCTGCTTTTAGAACTGAGAGTATGCAATATAAAAACAAGCAGAAGCGATTTTTATAAAAAAAAAAATTGTTTTTTTCCTCCAAAACAATGAGAACGCTTTCAATTTTTACCGCTTTTTTCCATTCGTCATTTTTTTTTTTAACACATGTGACGTGCTGGATTAGTCTCGCATTTCCGAGCGCTCAAAAATCTGGATAAATTCACAAACACGGCGCATCACTTTCGACGGATTTTTTCCGCGTCAAACAAGCGATTCGAGGCATCTCATCGATTTTCAATATAGATGAAGCCGTTTTTATCCCAGCTCCGCATCGAGCTAATTGAGCTTATTGAAAAATCCACTCGAGCAGACAATTTGCAATCTGCAAAGGCAAAAGCTTGTTTCGAGTTTACATCAGGCTCGCAAGTTAGTTGCCTGCTAACGTAATTAACGCAGCGAGCCTCAATTTGATTTCGCCCGTATAGTTTCAGCTTGGCTAGTCAGGATAATTATCAAGCACGACGACGAGAGCGGCACGTCCAAAGCCTTAAGGTGCACGTCAAAATTGGCGCTGCGATTTTGATTATTATACAGGTCCGGCCGCTCTGTGTAATTTTGTGTATCATCTCAAGAGTGGAGTTTCGCGTGCCTTCGAGAGATGCGATCAGATCAGATGTGCTCATATTTAACAATCGAGCAGCGCTTGTTGCAGAAATGCATGATCAGCACATGAGAACTGAGGGCAGTGAAATGCTTAATATTTTATAATAATATGCTGAAAATGTCTCATTTTTCTATAATAGAATATTTTGAGGGTCAAATTTAAGTTCAAAAAGTCTCTGATACAATTGGTTTTTGCATAAAAGTAACAAATAAAAAAAATTTAGCGAGAAAATGTTTACTTTTTCTCAACTATTTTGAATTACTATATTTTGTTTTAATAATATTGCAAAAATTTAATTAAAAAAAAATCTCTTGCTTGCGAATTCTAATAAGAATGAATTGCTGTGAATTATAAAGCAGAAAAAAATAACATTACATATGAAACATGAAATCCAACAAATAAATTGCCAAGGAATCTTAATTTTTATAGTTTTATTTAAAATTTCTTGTCACACGTTTCATCAGAAAGACTTGTTAACCTGCAGATATCGATCGATTCCAATAACTCTTTGAAATTAAATTAGCTTTTACCCCTGAACATTTTTTCTAAGAGATAATAGAGGTCCACCGCATCAGTGGCGGCGTTACTGACTATTTTGGGACGGCCAAGTTCAGAGAGGCGGTCCGGCGAATGTTGCGGCTCGCCAGCAGCTTCCTCTAAAGGAGTTAAAGGTCCTCAATATTGAGGTGTTCGGAGAGTGAAAAGAGAAGGGCGGTGGCTCCGTGTAAATGGCAAAAGGCCCCAAGGCGGCATGAGAAACCCTAACATCCTAAATATTCAAAGGTGACATGGGGCACTTAGCTAATTATGGA